TTAAACTCCACATAGAAACGTAAAAACAAGATCAGAAAGATGCCAAGATATCGCACGTCACGTACGAAATTGTATGCGCCTGCACGCCGCAATAAGGAGTGCTTAACTCGAACTTCAGTTGATGTTTGCTTATCTATGCCCCCCCCCCCCCCCCCCCCCTCCTCCCCTCGACAATTGTGAAGTTATGTGCGCCCTGATGGCGAATAAACCTATTTTTACAACAACAAAAGTTGCTGACGTATTTTCGAAAGATACTTGAGTATGCTTGATGATTTTTGGAACCTCGATCAATACCGCCACCAGACTCTCCACGGACACCTGCCATGCACCTAAATATCTGTCGATTGGTCTAGCAATCTTCGTTGGGCGAGCTCTAGTCCCACATACATAAAGCAGCGCTTGCCTGTTAGGAACCGTGGTAGACAACCGCTCCATGTTGGACAGCCAATGGCGGTTACCGGCAGTATCGTGGGAAACAGTCAGTCTGCTGCGTAAAGACCCAGTTCCTGCACCAAAGTCAGCCTTAGCTTCAGCTCCAGCTCAAAGCTCAGATCGAGCTCTAATGTAACGAGCTCCAGATCCAGTTTCCACTAGTCGGGGTTTCCACCAGGGTGTGATGACATTAATGGCCTAATCAATCACCAGTCACAAGCGCTGATAAATACTCAGAAGCAATGCCTAACCGGCACAGCTTCAGATCATGTGCGAAGGTATCCAATGACGCAGGCGAAGCGTCGTGACGCACCAGCTGGCCTCAAACTGCGTCACCCAGGCCCTGGACCCGCCCGTCGGGCGCAGCGTAGTCCGCTGACGCTCCCGACCGGGCTCGCGCCGGGCCGTCGCGTGCGATCATTTTGCGATGGAGCCGGCGTTCCAGATCGGTTCAACGGCGGCACGCACCAGCTGTGCCGCAGGAACGGCCGACAGCTTGTCATCGAGCCCTGACGGCTGTCGACTAACGAGGCTGCCGACCCGGCGCACGCCGCCCGATGCGTTCCTGACATCGTGTGATGTCAGACCGAAAGTTTCACGGGGCATTAGGATTTGCCGCCGGGAAATTGGTCGGGTTGACACGATGACACCTTGACCGCATCGGCGCGGGTGGCGGCAACATAGAGCGTTGGCGGTGTGCGGTGTTGAACGGAGTTGTATCCGAAATGTCGGATTGCATAAATGTGATGCATTCCATGAGTAGCGCGTGGTGACTCACAGTATTCGCGTCATGCTACATCTATGATTAGTTGTAGAGTTATTCGTGGATTGAATGTCTAGGGTCGAATTCAGTCCAAACATTTGTACACGATAAATGACCGCGTAGTTCTAGACGTCGAAAACACGGAACTTATGCACAAAATGAAGCAGGCGTCGTCATACACAAACAGCCCCGGATTGAGTTCAAACACATGACAACTGCGATACGGTCACCATAGCTTTGCATGGGAATAATATGCGCTAGGAAGCTTTGTACTCATTCGTCTCCAAAAAACTTGTCAGACTTTTCCGCAGCGAACACATTTCTGGCACCAAAAACCTGAGTGGGGACACACCACTCGGAGACCATTCCATATAGCACCAGTCACAATGTCATTCCTGATCAGCTCGTTTCAGTGACAATCCCAATTCTGTGAAAGCCTTAGCATCCTGAACGCAAAATTGCTGTACCATGTTATAAGCCAGTGGCTCATGCAAGCGTATTCTTGGCGCAGATTACAAACCTCTTAATCTATATAGTAATCGTTTCAGAGTTGTCAAGCGCTTTAATTAAAATATGCATTTTGTGCGCGTGCTGGTGGTTGTTCCATTGTAAGGATTTCTCTATATACTGTTTTATACGGCGTGGTCATGAGTCGTGCCCGGAATATTGACACTGAAATGCAACGCAACACATTTTTTTAAAAATATCTATTAGGCATTGCAAGGAGGTCAACGTAGTCACGTGAAGAAGCAAAGTAGTCGCCTGCCTTAATTCACCAAACACTGACTGATCTTATGAATATATTACATTGAAACCATAGCATGCTAGATGCAGCGCGCGCAGACACATCTGCTCCGCCCTGAGTTGCTTCCAGATTTTCCATTTTGTCGACTATACTTGGACTGGCTCTTTTTCCATTTCCTCCATGGATTAATGACAAATGAACGAATTTATGTAGTCTTTGAGAAGCTTTAACGGATGAGAAAGCAGCTTGACATCTAACACAATCCAAAACTTTGTTGATAAAGCTATGTCTAATGCATAAGCCCAATGCAAACAGTTAAATGACATACTTAAACTTGTTGGCATACTTTTGGCTTGAACGCCACCTTTTTCAACACGCGCTCGGGCAGCGAGCAATGTAATCTACTCTAAGGTCGCTCCCCCTCAAAAAATCCTGAGCAGTGCAGCCTGGCGACATAAAACTTTTCACAACTGGACGTAATTGAATAGCCGATGGATGCCGCAAAAGAAAGGGAATATGGTTCAAGGCCACAGATCTAGTGTGGGCTTAAATCAGGCCCCGCCTGTCAGCAGGGGCAATTTTTAGAACAGCTTCGAATGTATTGCAACAGGAATAATTAGATATTTGATCATATACATGGGAAGCCTAGATCAATGGTAAAACGACCTTTACCTGCAATAGGCGCTTGTCCTGTGTGTGTTCTTTATGCGAAATTCGAATTCATTAATTTCACTTCATGACGAGCAGTGCAGGCCACTGACCTGGATGGCCTGGACTGATTATGGCGTTTTCAAATACCAAAAGGATTTTGAAGCTCTTTTATCATTTTAATCTTGTGAGGGAGAGTTAAAGGCGCTGAACTGAAACATCCCAGACTGGACTATCGTTGTTGACGGGAGAAACTCAGATGGCACTTCCGACAATGATTTTGACTTTAACATTGACCTTGTCCGACCCAAAAGGTCACGACGTTAACAAGTACTTCACGAGCTCATATAGCACTCTGTCTACCCTTAAAATTTGGCGCCTCTAGCTTTCCTGCTTTTTCATATTTCAGGCGGTCAAACTGTCCCTCTCCGCTTCCAAGCATTTGACGTCTAACTGGACACCTGTGTACGTATTAAGCAAATACCATTTTGTTTTGATGACTCCCTTAGAAAAATGCCGCTTATATTCTACCTCAAGTCACTTTCTGATGTTTGAGACAGTCACAGCCAACTCGTCAACTTTTACAGCTTGCTGCAATAACAACAAAAAAAGAACGTAATTTCCCCAGGGTAATGGACATAACTGACCGTGTGTTTTATTCTGCCAGCAAAACATAGCAGTTTTGCTGCAAGGTTATTTCGCCAAAGCGAAGCAATTGTTCTTGGCCCCCAAGCGCCCGTTACACGCGACCAGAGCGCGCACCACGTTGTGCACCCTTATTGTAGGATTTGGCGCCACGGAAGGCGGCATTATAATAATGCACAACGCGTGAATAGGTCGGGAAATCAAAACTTGGCTCGGCGGTGCGGTGGCCAAAGTGCACCTGTCACTCCACGAGTGACACGAGCTGTGCACGCGGGCAGCCGGCGGACTCGTGGTCTCTGCGGTCCGGTCGCCCGAACAGGCTTACCGAAGACGCACGGTCACAGCGGGCGGCGTGGGCGGCGTCCCGAGAAGGGACCTGTCCAGGCGCGCGGTGTGAGCGGTATGCGTCCTGAGGAGGGACCTGTCCAGACGCGCAGTGTGAGCAGGCTGCGTCCTGAGGAGGGGCCTGTCCAGGCGCGAGGTGTGAGCGGCCTGCGTCCTGAGGAGGGGCCTGTCCAGACGCGCAGTGTGAGCAGGCTGCGTTCTGAGGAGGGACCTGTCCAGGCGCGAGGTGTGAGCGGCCTGCGTCCTGAGGAGGGGCCTGTCCAGGCGCGAGGTGTGAGCGGCCTGCGTCCTGAGGAGGGGCCTGTCCAGACGCGCAGTGTGAGCAGGCTGCGTCCTGAGGAGGGACCTGTCCAGACGCGCGGTGTGAGCAGGCTGCGTCCTGAGAAGGGGTCTGTCCAGACGCGCGGTGTGAGCAGGGCTGCGTCCTGAGAAGGGGTCTGTCCAGACTCGCGGTGTGAGCAGGCTGCAGGTGGGCGGATGCGGGAATGGTCTGGAATGAGACTGCGTGTGAATTTGCATGATTCAAGCTAAGTATTAGACGGTTCGCGCTGACCTATCGTCAGACACAGCTGCTCAGACGCATGTGACTGCCACCAGTGCTGCTCAGGAAGTGACTTGTGTGTGCTGCGGTGGGTCAGCCCTAGGCTTCATTGGATTTGCCGCTGTGCTGACATGTGAAGCCCGTGCTCAGCAGACGTGTTTGACGGCAGCGAGGATCAGTAGACTCCGAAAACGTAGGTTTGAAACGATAGTCCAGCTAAGAAGTTGTATAGCACTGATACTCTAGGGCGATGGCATTCCCATCGAATACGAATAGTGTTTTATCTTATATTTCTAAGACATAGCTCTGCTTATAAAAAGAGCTTATGGCAGTTCTAATTATTCAAGAAGCTCTGATTGCTTTATCATTGGTGCAAAATATACGAAGGCTTGTTAAATTATAATTGGTGCACAGTTATGATTTAGTCTGGATTATTTTGCAAGAATGTTGGTCGTTCTGATTTTTGTATTAGTCCTCGCTCTGATTCGCCGTTTTTAATACCAACGACTGATACGGTTGATGCGATGTGATAGTTGATGCAAACCCCCTCCCCAGGTGTCTCCAAACTGATGAAGATAGAGCTTACCGTAACTCACTAATGGATTAGTCCCAACGAGATCTCACGATTGGTACCAGTTTTACGTCGTTAAGTCAAGAATCTGCCGTATTGTGAAGGTCAAAGGTTTACTATTCCAGAAAAGCGCTCTTTTTCACCATTTCATCATACCTGCAAGACCATAGTTAGTGGCGACGCGAAAATTAAAGTCGCGTGCTCTTTGTTTAATTATGAGTATAATGGTGTACATTTGCACGCATAACGGATTCGTGGAAAGTGGAGAAAATGATGTATATTTTTAGGCTGAATGAACTACCTGCCCAAGCATAGGATGTAAACAGAACGGGGATTTGGGCCGCACATTCCAGGCGTTCTCCAGTTTCATTTTCCAGAGCAAAAGTGCTTTGTTTGGACGACAAAGAATAAAACGCAACTTTCTCGGACTTGTGTAACTTCATAAATAATGTGACAAAGAAAAGCAATTGTTTTCATTTACAACGCACCCCACTCCGAACGCCATCTCATGTCATCGCGCCGAGCCGCCTCATTTCTCAACCCCAGCCGTGAAATAAGCGGTCCCCGACGTCTGACGTCATCGTGTAGTGTGACGTCACTCCTCCTCGACGCCGGGCGTGAGGTTGACTGTGCCGTGCGGCGCGTCTGGCCGGCCGCGGAGGCCGTGTAGGTACGTCTGCGGCCGCGGCACGGCGCTGCAGTCGTCTCGTGTCGTCTGCGTGCCGGTGCCTTGCGCGGCGAACATCTGCGAGCTCTGGTCGCGGCGCAGGTGGCTGCGCTCTGTCTGCACGCCGTGCGTGCGCCGGCCACGCAGGTCTGCCAGAAGCAGCGCGCGCCGCCGCATCTGCCACTCGTTCCAGCTGAGGTCGGGGTCGGCCGGCGCCGGCGCCGGGTGCAGCTCGGTCTGCACGGCGCGGTCAGCCATGAGCAGCGGCGCTGGCGCTGGCCGGCCGTCGCCCTCCTCTAGATCGAGTAGATGGATCAGCTCCGGGTGGCGGCGCGCGTGCGCCTCCACCTCAGACGTGTAACGGTAGGGCGCGGCGGCGAAGGCGGCGAGCGCGGCCGGCGAGCTGCAGCAGTAGTAGCGGCCGCAGTAGTACGCGACACCCAGGCTGCTGTCGCCGATCAGCAGCTGCCCGCCGCCGTCCACCAGCGCGTGCGGGCACAGCCGCTGATACTGGATGGGCAGCGACGGAAAGTTTTTGAGCCTCTCGACGGGTAGGACCTGCGCCGGGGAGTCCGGGTCGAGGGCGACGGGCTCGGCGGCCCTGTTGCGCTCAAACTGCTGCGCGTCGGTGACGACTTCGGCGTCGCGGAGCCGCTCCTCGAGCCAGGTCTGCGGCACGACCTCCTCGGTCTCGTACAGGTGCATGAAGCCCTGTAGTTGACCGTGCAGCGTACTGAGCGTGCTCAGACACACCGTCTCCACCTGGAAGCCGCGCCAAGCGTCCGCCAGCTCGACGAACAGCGGCAGCACGACATTGGCGGGCACGGCTGGGCTGACGTCGATGATGCGGTGCAGCCGGCCCAGCAGCCGCCCGATCTCCTCCCGCAGCTGAATCAGCTGCGCCGCCACCTTACCCACGTCGCCCAGCATGACGCGTAGGTACAACTCAAACTGGCGGTAGTGCGCCGCTACCTCGCGGCAGAGCCGCACGAACTGCGCCGATAGGCTCTCCTCGTCCGGTGCCTCATCCGTCGCCTCCTCCGCCGCGGCCCGCCGGCACTCCACGTGCTGACGCACCACGGCGTTGTAGCGCGCCGCCTCGCGCGCGCAGTGCTGCAGCTCGCGGTCGAAGCCGGCGCGCGTGGCGCTGACAGCGCGCTCCAGCAGCCCCGGCAGGTCCTCGATGCCCTCGCCGCCCTTTTTGGCGTCGCGGTTGAAGAGCCTCACGCCAGCCACGATATCGGCCAGCTCGCCGAGCTGCAGCCGCTTCTCGCCCGGCCGCAGCGCCAGAAAGTTGCCGAGCTCGGCCGGCGGGAACACGCTGTGCAGGGCGGCTGTCGCCTCGCGCTCCACGGCCGGCTCGGTCGGGTCGCCGAGCCCGTGCACGAGGATGGTGAGCGCCACCACGCGCCGGTACAGCAGCTCGAGCTCTTCGCGACCACCGCCGGCCGTTGCCGCCACGATGTCGTCGACGACGGGCGCCAGGCGGCTCTGCAGCATGCGGCCGTGGTCGGCCAGCACGTCGCCGCGCGGCATGTAGCTCGTCTCGAAGAACACCTGCATGCGCACGAGCTGGCCGGCCGGCGAGCGCAGGTCGGTCAGCCGCCGCACGCAGAGCGCCGCCAGGCGGTCGGCGTCCGTCTCCTGGCGCAGGTTCTCCAGCAGGCAGGCGTGCCGCGGACTCAGCACCACCGCCTTGATTGTGAAGGCGGCCAGCGTCTCGCTGGCCGTGACGCCGGCCTCATGGCAGTCGGACAGAATGCGCTTAATCAGCCGCCGGATCAGCTCCTCGATGGGCGTGGCCATGGCGGCGTCTGAAGGGGGACTGTGGGGACTGGCGGCAGAAACAGACGGATTCTTCTCTTGCACTAATGATGAGCCTCGGACCCACTTCCGGTTGTGATGTTTAGCGTCGAGTGCTGGAAATCATTCTTCAATGAAAGTACATGGAAGCTTGCAATGAAGCTAGATGTTGAGTCCTGCAAATCAAAGAATCGCCGTTTGCTTTGGTCTGAGCAATGATGCTCAAAACCTCAAATTCATCTTTCTTTTGAACAAGGCATTGGGCCGAGCATCGGATATTTTGTGTGATGGACTCAGAAAGATGAACGGGAAACTGTTACAACTTTGGTGTTCACAAGAAACTTTGAGAAACGCAGTGTTCGGGTGGTAAGTCCGTGACTAAATCTGTTATGTCATCCTCTGCTTTTGAGGACTCCTTGGCAGTGTCATTGTGTTCACACCAAAGCACACTCAGGTTTATTCACTGTGTTTGGGGCTCAGTCCCTGCTGCTGTGCATAACTAGAGTCCTACTTAAGCCTCAAGTGGAGTCTTACTTACCCTTAAAGGGAATGTTCTACATTGGAAGATACTGGAGCAAGTACGAGATATGATTAAATAAGCTACCACGCAACTTTTGGTATATTTTCAAATAAAAAAGGCTACGCTCGACAACAAAATGTCTTTGTTGAGTAAATATGCCCTTCAATACGTCATTATTCAATGCCATCTCACCTTGCAAAACTGTAATTGAGAGCCAATAGACGGGCGTGACATTTGGAAATCATAGTCACAAACGTCATATATGAACAGCTCAAAAATTATATTTGTATTGGCCTTGGTTTCCGCATAGCCGATGAAATGACAGGATTTTAATGATATGATGGCGTCAAAGTTGCCTGGGTGATCTTGTAATAGTCTCCCGGAAAAAGTTCGCACATCTTCGCGGGGTATAGCTCAGAAACCATAAGGATCTAGATCTAAAGAAGGGCAGGACTTTGACGGCACTAAATGATCTTCAAGATCAAAGAAGGCTATTTCACTTCAAAGTTTCATACAAATGTGGAACATTCCATTTAAAAGACGGAGTGTTCAGCAGCAGCATCCTGTCTTGCAAAGGCCCAGGCAAATAAAACGTGTCCGTTTTTGCTAATGCAACAATGCAAGAGTCCACACTTACTGAACTGCAGTGGTGGATGCCTCTTCGTGCATCAAATCCGTCTTTCGGAAATAAGCTGGATCCAAGGACACCCAAGTAGAGATTAGAGACCAGCATGGCCTGACGAGCAATATGATTATGCGGAAATAAGGAAACACACTGACACATTTACAAGGCTTTGAATGTTTATGTGTAACCAACAGATCTTCGAAAGAGCTGAATCGCTGGATCTATGGTGGAGTTCAACATCTTGTCAATTAAAAACGGGTATACGCGTCAATTCTCAAACGGCTTTACGTTAGAGGGTTGCCATGATCCATAATGCCACCGAAAACGCCCGCTAAATACCGACTTATTAATTTGTTCTTGCGCCACACCCTGAAGAGAATGCTGCTCGTCACGCTTCATCAGGCATGAATCATTCTCTGAGCAGCGCTTGTTGTCGTCACAGGCACTGTTTGATTCACTTACCGATGGAATGCATCTTGTCATCCCATGAGCCACCACCAATTTATACGTAACTTCTCGCATCCACCTGTCTTGGATTGTGCCTTTCGTGGACGCACACGCGGCTCTTCCAGAAAGGCCTCACGCGTTCGGGACACGCGCTCGTTCCGCGCGAATGCAGTCGGCCACCGTAGTACCCTCCCCCCCCCCCCCCTCCACTATCACCGGTTGCAGGAGCACCCCAGACCTCCACGAAGTCACCATACAGTTGCGGACACGTAAGGCCGCGGGCCGACCGGTGCACTCCGGTCATTCGTGAGAATATCATGTCAGAGGTCGCCCACTTATGATTCTTGACCTTTGAGTGATGTGACGGTGACAGCTACAGGTGACTCGGAACTCTTGCTGAATACACATTGGAAGAGATGTGCTCCTATTTCATCTCTAGTCTCAGGAGGTGGCAGTAGACTCATGCGACGCCTGCAGCAGGTCAGAGACGGCTCTGTCCAGGCTCTAGCCGGTGTTTCCGCACGCCCGACCCTGGAAGTCATTACTCGCAGTGTTGCCAGCCCGTCCTGTTCCCGATGGTCACAGGCTTGCTGTATCTTCGTGACCGGCCTTGCTGAACCACACATAAGGCCGCGTTGAGTGATCAAAGGCCCCAGAAAAGAATGGAAATGTGATGAGAACCTTTGAAATCCCTTGATGTCTTTTTGCGTTAGAATGGAGTGTTCTTGAAATGCCCTGGTAATTAGTTAATCGAGCTCTGAGGCTCCCCACTCATTACTCGGTGAATTACTATGCATACTGTCTCTGACTTTGATGAGTGATTAGTAGTCGACCTGTAATCGCGCTGCATTCGAGTTATATTGGGTAAGGCTGCCCTCTAACAGCAGGTCGATTTGTTCTCAGTTTGATGACTACGAGCTTGAGCGTTACTGGTTTACAAAATTGCACCTTGGGCTATAATGTTTGTTTTTTCCTCGCTCAGCCTAAAACGACAGTTTATCTTATCTCTTTGTATGGTTTGTGATAGTTTGACACGTTATTCCGAGCAAGAATTAGAGGGGAGGGCTTTCAGAATGACAGCACCTTTTGAAAGGGAATATCTGTTTCAGCCATACGACGTATTTATTCACGAGCTTCCAACAGCCGTTGAAATTGGGTCCATCTGTTATCGCCAATCTTTGAGACCTTAAAACTTCCAGCCAATTTCAGTCTATTCATAAAAAACACGTTACACTTCTAGCGTGTTAACCCTTCCTGGTTCATCCGACCGCCTGTTTTACGTTGCCGGCACCTGCCGAAGCAGCATATCCTCTCAGCGGGTGTCCGTTGCTGTGCAGCTGCTGCAGCCTCTGAGACATAGCAACACGGACTGTGGCACGACTTTGCCGCCTGTACGGTGCACCGCCGCGCCCACTGCACCGCTGCTGGGACGGCGCCGGGCCGCTCCGGGGCGAGCCGTCCCCGCCCCGGCGCTCCCCGCTGGAGCCACAGATGAACGCTGGTGTCGAGCGTATCCCGCCGGGCCGCTCCGGGGCGAGCCGTCCCGAACCCGGCGCTCCCCACTGGAGCCACAGATAAGCGCTGGTGTCGAGCGCATCCCGCCGGGCCGCTCCGGGGCGAGCCGTCCCGAACCCGGCGCTCTCTGCTGGAGCCACATATGAGCGCTGGTGTCGAGCGCATCCCGTCGGTAGCGTGTGTCGTATCACCGTCAGCGTTTTAGCGCGGCGCGCCGGAGCATCGATCCCACCTCTGCAAGACAGGGCCAGATGACGAGCGATGGCAGGAGCGAAAACAGGCCACGATAGAAAAGGTGATGCTGTGTTTGGGGAGCGCTGCCTTCAGGTCCGTTTTAGGTAGCATGTTTTGATGATGCCGATGGATGGAACAGTGATCTGTACAACTTAAACTGAAAATTATGGCGTGTTTACACACTGCATCACCGCCAGACAGAAGCGAGACGAGGAAGGGTTGACGGGTATGTTATGCGTGTTAGTGCAATATGGACGACGTCCTAAGGCGCGCTTAGCTTTCCAAACATAATCTAACATATTGTATGGTCTTCATCATGACTTTTCAGGAGTGAAACCAGACCAATGGATTGTAGCCAAGAGCTTATTATTCTATATATATTTTGTGTTCAAAGCATTGCTTGGTTGAATTATTAGCACGACAAGCATGCTATAGGCGTCCGGAAGTCAGCAGAAATAAAAGTTTAATCAGTTTAAGCTTATCAAAACGGATAGAACTTAAAAGTGGCCATTATGCGGCAAACAAATGTTTGTATATGCTGAAAAGCTCATAAATGCAGTCAGGAACTTTTAAAGTCAGGAACTTTGATTAATACACAAGATCCGTAAAACACTGTTAACTCATACCGAAAACTTCTTCGCCATACCCAAAGTGGTTTCGAAGTTATTCACAGCAGCCTTCTAGAGATCTAACCACTCGTCGGAGTGCCGACCTGAAGTTTCATGACCGGAATGAGTCAAATAGAATTGGAATCGAGTAATTGTCATGCTGCAAATGTGATGCACAGAAGAACGGAAAGACCGATTCAGTCAGGGTAGTGTTTGGAAACAAGAAGTGTGAATGCAGAACGGATGGCATCCATACCATTGCCGTACACGGACCTCCCGGTGCGACCGTACATGTGATCCAGGTGCGGCAGGTTCACACTGCTGTCGCCGCAATGCCGCAGTTTATGACTGCATCGGGTTCATCTCGAGAAGCGACGGTCTTGAGATTGCGGGCTAGTCTAAGCATACAGGATACGCATCTGCTGCCATCTGTGGATTAAAGAGCGTACTAATGTTGGCCGCCCCCTTAGAAGAGAGCAGTGGGCAAATCCGGTAATCCGGTAAGAGCCAATCTCAGACACGCTCAGGGATATTCCAAGTCCAGCCGCTAGCCACGACAGTCAACTCGAGTCGGCGTTATGGGATACGTTTCGATCGACCAAGCCCTGCACCTTTCCCAACGACGGCATTATTACCAGTCTTGGCAAGAAAGCAGAAATAAGTATTAAGTATAACCAAACTATTCCCTCCATCAGACAACATTTGGCTTCGTTTTCTGCGAAATTGTGCCAAGATAAATGAGGAAAATAAAATTTTCCCACTACAGGGCATCGGGTTTCGAAAATGTCTTTTCATTTCATACCGTAAGCCAAGCAATGGGATCAGTTTGTACCAGTAAAACGCTTCCTGTGACATGAGATGAATCGGGTGATGGCAGAAGTGATTACCACCAATACCATGCAGTTGATTTATAAGCATTAGCACGTCTTTGGAAACCTATATGGACGTGAGTTGTTAATCCAACGGAATATTCTACCTTTATAAGCTTGTTAGGCAAAGATGCAGTGGTGTTTTTTGTCGGTGCATAATTCATAGAGTGGCTGGATTGACTGGCTTTGGGTCTGTTGAGTCCCAATAGGTTCAATCGACGAGGTGACTCGATTTGGATCAGTTTACGGTTTTGATGACTGGCGGAACGCTTTTTAAGAATGCCGCTAATGTTAACGGTGCATACTGGTTACAATAAACTGGAGTACTTTTACTGAATATTTGAGAGGTTAAAAAGCTGGGTCACTTGAGTTCACTGGGCCCATTGAGTTTCCATGGCCTGAGCTGTCTTGTTTAGTTTGCAATGTACTGTATGTGGGGTGTGTTTTGGAAATTCAATGCTAGTGCCTTGGTCTATTACAAGCGCGCCTGTGGGTAGGAGGGTATTGAGATCGGTGTTACGAGGATTGAACGACGCATGAAACGTCCATTGTCGCCACATGCGGTACGTTCACCTTTGTGAACGGCACGTTAACCCTTGTGGGCGGTACGTTCACCTACGTCGTGCAGTGGGTTTCACGTCTCAATCTGCTCTGGCATCAGTCCCTGAATACACTCAAAAAGGGGTGCATTTTTAGGGTTTTAGCACGAGTGCAAAAACACAGAAGGGGTTTTAGCGCGAGATTGCGCGAGGAACTCCGACATATTGGCCAGCACTTTTGCCAACACGATTTTCCACTTTATCTTCTGTCGGCACGTGCTAGCCTCAGCTCAAGTGCGGCGCCTAACCGTACGTATCTGCCCCTGCTTTCGACCACCGACGTTCAGCTTTTTCACGGTTTAAAAAGTTTAGGCTTTCAATGTGAATCGGTGGTTATTGGTGCCTTACCACACACTCAGCTGCGGAGGCTACATGGTGTCGGCATCCGATCGCCCTGGCAGGAAGGGCGAAGGGCGCGAAGAGAGGAATCCTGCGCCTCTAGTTTGATCACGCTGATTAAATAAGGAGCCAAAAGGTGGTGATTGTAACATTGCAAAACTGTGTCATGTGCTGAAAAAGACAGCATTGGCTTCGACATGTTTTGAAACAATTTTGTCCACAAGAATTGTGCAGCATGTCGCCGGAAATATCATAGTGCTGCAATTGATACTTGCACATATCTAAACTCGTCGGAAGCGCCATCGGCCACACCGCTGAATGTACCAAATGTTTGGTTGGTTGGCATTAATATTCGCTCGGGCTGCGGTCTCGATTGTTAACGGTTGTGTTGTTTTTCACCCGCAATTTGCGTGACTTGAATTGTAAACGAACTGCATTTACCGCGGGCAATGTTTGTGGTGGGGTTCTGTCTCACTATGGGCATTTTCCCTAAAAACCTTGGGATTGATAACAGGTGTTATATATCAAACGTGCCTCAGCTGTACTGCTATGATAGATGATACAGGAGCAGCGCAGCGATGATTTCCAGGGAGAAAACATGAACTGTTTCGAGTTTTCGACACTGCCCCAAAGCGTTTCACAATGAGACCCCCAGCACTTCGTTGGCTATTGAGCGCTGAAGTTTTTCCGTTCTTGAAGCGGCCATGTTGGCTTCCCGAAGCCTGGCCGACGATCTGGATATACCGACAGATTCGGAGCTGGAGGAGTTCGAGGGTGACCAGCGGTACCACCCGCGCGACGTCATCTCCCTCTCTGCCGACACGCACTTCTCGCCGCACGAGGTGAAGCGCATCTACCGCGGCTTCAAGGTCGAGTGCCCCATGGGCGTGGTCGACGAGGACGACTTCAAGGACATCTACTCGAGATTCTTCCCGCAGCAGTGTGAGTGGCCGACGGGAGGCCCACTATCGCCCCGCGGCGGCCGCTCGTGCCTATTGGCCAGCTGCGCCGCCGTCGCGGAGACGCGTCGCATTCTACTCGATTGATCGCGCCGTGCCGCGGTGGCGTTGGCAGCCGTCCGATCCGTTCGGGCAAGGTTTTGGAGGCGATGGCGCCGAGTTGATGCAAATTGAGCCCGTTGTCCGTCCTTGGGATTGTCAGGATCAAGTCATTTAAAACAAATGGGAGGTGAAGGTCGTGAGGTCTTTGTTAAGGGCCCAACCGGATGGCCAATGAGCACAGTGGGAATGTGGGCAGAGTATGCAGCTATGGCACGCAGCTAGCACGATTATCCAGCATGGCCTGACTAGGCTTACATATGAATCCATTAGTCAGTGGGCGGCGTGAAACAACACGCATTCGCTTGTCTTCTTTTGCTCACCTACGATGCATTTTGACGGTGTTGTGGGTCCTGCGTTCCAGCGAATACCAGCTTGTACGCCCACTATGTGTTCAACACATTCGACGTGAGCTCCCCCGACAGAGTCATCAATTTCGAGGTGGGACTCGCACAGTTGTGTTACTGCATTTCGGCCACTACCAACGTTATCACAGATCCTGCAGGATGGCTTTCAAGACAAACAAAACTCATTTGTACGGCTTTAGTTCATCGTCTATTTTTTTTCAAGCAAGCAATGTTTAAGGGCCGATGACATGCTTTGGGGGCATAATTTAAAGTACACACTCATAATGAGATAGTCAAACCCAAGCAATGTGTGCGTCTTCCGAGAGCTCGGGGTAAAAACAGACTGAAATAAAAGCCGTTTAAATGTTATATCACGTCGGAGAAAGTGGCTATTCATGCCCGAGTGAAGAGAGAGAAAGAGAGAGAGAGAGAGAGAGAGAGAGAGAGAGAGAGAGAGAGAGAGAGAGAGAGAGAGAGAGAGAGAGAGAGAGAGAGAGAGAGAGAGAGAGAAGAGAGAGAGAGAGAGAGAGAGAGAGAGAGAGAGAGAGAGAGAGAGAGAGAGAGAGAGAGAGAGAGAGAGAGAGAGAGAGAGAGAGAGAGAGAGAGAGAGAGAGAGAGAGAGGGGGGGGGGGGTGATGAAACGCGGAGAGACGTGAAGTCACTATTGTTGTCGTGTCCCGTAGGAGTTTCTGAAGTGGTTATCCCGACTATGCCGGGGCACGGTAGAAGAGAAGCTGCGCTGGATGTTCCGCCTGTACGACATCAACAACGACGGCAGGATCACCCGCGGAGAGATGACGTCAGTGTTCATCAGTATCTACGCCCTGCTGGGAGGCGTTACGCTGGGCATGCTTCAGGACGACTCGGTCGTCTCCACCAAGGTGGACCACGTCTTTCAAGTGAGGCTCTTGACGATGCCGCCATCCTTTGCAGCCTTGCAGCCAGAGATATGCAGAGTCTATTTACAGAAGGATGACGGGATTAGGTTTTATTGGGCATAGGCCACAGTCTCTTAAATGGAGCATTCCACCTTTTTGTGTTTTCCCTCACTGTTTTCCCTCAAACGTGCACGACTCGTCAGTAATTCATTTTAATCCGTTTTTTTAATGTCAGTAATTAGCTTTCTCGAAATCACTCTGAATAGCTTGGAATTTCTATTTGAAGTGGCCGTACTTCTGGAGTCAATCTCATTTGACTTCCTGCTCACCATTTTGAAAGTAATGCATTTAATTTGCCTTCCTGTGTCTGGCGTGTGTGCTCTGGAATGTTTGCAATCCATTAAAGTGTTACAATATTTGCATAATAAATGCTACGAAAGCTGGAAACGTTCCGGTGAGATAGAAAGATATTCCAAAATGAAACTATTATCCCGCGAACTCGATGCAACGTTGTACTACGGCTTTAATTTCTGCACTGTGATGTTTATCACAGTATCTCTCCTCGAGGCGCACTTTGGATTTGGGAATTGGAGTGTCACATGACCTATATGGCGCACTAGTTTAAACTTTAGCCAGTGCGCTCCGTGGTAACAGACCCTTGTAGCCCGCTGAGCCTATCACAAACGTTCTTTTATACGCGCCAGCAGAGATGCGCGCGGAGGTTGTCATGACCACGGTGGTTGCGGCTGCAGGAAAGAGGCGTAGTGCTGTAACAAGGCGTTGACACCGTAATTTGGACTCGGAAGTAATTAAAATTGATATTATTGTTATGTTTCGACCATGATGCACTGGTTTCACCTCGAGCACGCTTTTGAAATATGCCCCAGAGGTTGGATACTTCCATTCATATATTTACTACCGAGGGTAACAGCTAACGAATAGACGAATGGTACCATTACGTGATTTTCCATGACGTTACCGTGCCAGGCAAAAATGGACCCGCTATGGCACGTACCAGCTGCCAAACAATTTGTGTCGCAGAATGGTGAAGCAGCATCTAGTGGAACATATTGCCGTTGTATGCCCGCATTTCTTGATGACTTGATGACAGGATGATGTCACCACCTGATATATTTTGGGGTTGAGAAATAACGGCAGGGAAATCTGATAATATGTGTATGCGTAAAGGGACAAACGCGGCACCTGTCGTCCAAGAACATGACAGCTCTTTGAACTTGGAATCTACCAGGCCAATCAAAAAGGCCAGGCCAACAAAAGAAACCAATCAAATTCATTGTCTACTACCCTCAAATTCCGGATATTCCAATAAGCCCGGAGTTTTCCCATATGTCAAATAACAGGTGCTTTCTCTAGAAGCTCATCCTTTATTCAACATAGCCAAGGCTTCAATGAACCATGCGACCGACGTTGTTTGAGTAAAAAGCTCGCTCAAAGATCGCAGACACCGGAGCGCATTTCTGGGCCTAACTTTTCGATTGTGAAAAGCAAAGTTCAAAAGTAAAGTTCAGTGGCTAATTTTGTTTTGATAGATGACGCATACGAGGGGTAGGACGGGTTTCATGCCAGCTCTTCTGGTTTCCATCACGTCGCTGGGTGTTGGGCGATACTGTTGTCCTGACAGATAGCTGGGGCGATTCTGGCCCTCTCTCAACAACTGTAGTAGCCGTCTTTATTGAATTGTCGCCTTCTTATACAACTGCAATGCCCAACAGTCCCAAAAGTTCAAAATATTGCGTAAGGCTACGTTCACTAATTGTTCTTGAGCTTAGCGAAATGTCTGCCGCCAGCTCGGACGCATCTGTATGGAGCTTACAATAGTGGCTCAATGAATTAACTGAGGACTGCCAGCGCTTTAAGCACGATTGGCGCTCTTTCGGGCTCCCTTAATCCCAGTTCCGAGCAGCCGGCTGATAAAGGGATGCCAAGACTAATGGACTCCGATATGAGTCCAAGACTCACCAGCTGTCTTGTAGCGCCACGCGAAGTTCTTGACGTCTTCGGGGAAGCCTGCGAGTCGGCGAACAGTCTGACTCGCTGTCCGGCGTGTTGGCAGCTGGGGATCATTGATGCATCTGATGGGCAGCCGGGGCTGGCAGTGCACGCCGCCCCTGCATACAGAGACTGCCCGGTCTGTCTGGCCACGCGCTTCAGCTGGGCCCCAGGATCAATGGTCGTCTGCAGACCTGCTTAATCCATGAACTGTGCTTGGATGCATGAGTTTCTGACCGGACACATTGGCCGCGTTTGGCACACAAAAGGCTCAATGTTTCCGCAGAGATGATGCAAGAAAACACTGGTGGCCGCTTGTATTTAGCCACATGTTTCAGGATGATTTTGCTCACAAAACAACACAGGCGCAGTCAGAGCCCTGGTGAGGGAGGGGGCTTAGGGTTTTCAAAGGACCCCTTGATAGTGGAAGGACTACCCCCACGCCCCCCAAAAATCACGAGATTCCGCCCACTTATTTCCGAGGGGACAATTTTTCCTTTTGTTTGTATATGCCGCCTTCAATAACAGACACAGAAGCCAGAAAACGCGAGGAAATGCAATTTAAGAGCGGAGTACAACAATTTGGGGAAAAGTGGCAGCTGTTATAACACGCACGCATTTCAACGCAATATCAAAAATGCGTTTTCCACCGCCATAATTTCCTGCATTTTTCACCGATCCGAGATAGGTCAGACAGCGGCGGACATTGGTGTAGATGCAGCGATACGGGACCGAGGGTCAAACGCCACTATTTGTGTTCTTGAACCTTGCTCAAGATCACATTTTTTTAATGGTTTAATTAAGCACTTGTTTGATATTAATTAACTGAATCCCGCATCTCCCAGACTCCACAACCGGCCATCATCCCAAAATAGTTTGCACATCTGCCTTTGGCTTCACCACAATTATGAGGAGCCTAACCAGGATTACACCCAACAGCATATCATATCAGGTGGCAGGAATCCCTTTTAAATCCCTTTCAGAATCCCTTTCTTCATTGCCATATTGGGCGTTTTTTGTTCGGATGACCACTTAAGCGTCGGGACCTTATTTTCCTGCTTCATGGCCAGTTTTTATGCTTTAAAAGGCCTTCGGACGTTTTAAACTGTCAAGTTCAAGAGAGTTGTTGGGCGCATTTGCAAGGGACATTGTGCACGTAGATAAGACATTGGTAACAGCCTTAATCCTCGGAGACAAAACAATGGAATATCAATATGGATGGGTTTATTTTTCGGCAGCATACCTTCATGGAAACGAATAGCAACACTTGGCAATGGATATTATCCGCGACTTAAAGGTAGAATGTCGGAAGAGATCAAAAAAACTTAGAGCGCGCGGGGGTTGGATGTCAAGAGACGGGCGATGGATTCTTAACATTACCTTACATAGATGAGCACTTGCTCTGGAAAATTAAATGGATCGTTAGAAAATCAAAACTGCGCGTACGCATAGCTTAGAAGGGCGCCAATAAGCTAACACAGTCCCCGGTGAAATCTTCTATCTCGAAGCCCAAATATCCTGTTGGCAATAGATGTCATTTGTGCAAGTCTGGGTTTCAAGGGCTTTGCAAGCAAAAAACCTGGTTTACGACATTGGGTGTAAATTGGGTGAAAAACAAGGAGAGACATGGTCCATGTTGGTGAGTCCATGAGCCCTATTCGTTTAAGATATAATGAACGTTCGCGGGACGCTAAAAACAGAACAGGAAATACCCCTTTCGGTGACCATTTTTTGACAACATACGCTCGGGCTGAAATCCAGGGAGGTATGAACCCTATTCCCCTTTTAGAGCTCAAAGTCCTTCACAGAGCACAGGACCAGACAGGCAGGAAAATAAGTAAATCTATTCTTGTAAAAGTCGGCGACCAGGCCTTAACTTACAGGGCTCATCATGGCCGACCATACAAACGTGATAAGTGCCTTGATGTGTGATGTGTGCTAGCTTAAAATCGTCTACATAGATGAATGATGATTGATGACTGATGCGTGATGCCTGTTTAATTGAAATGGTTTGCATGAACAATTGATGCGTTATGGGTGATGCCTGTTTACTTGAAATTACTTGCATGTACACGTGTTTTCGCGTATTCTGATTCTTATATAGATATGCACTGTACCCTGGTAATGAATGACTGGCAGTTGATCCTTGTTTAATCCCCTGTGTGTTCGTGACCTGTGAAAACTGTGGCTCGCTGTTAAAAAACCTGAAAATCGAGTAGGATCATCTGCAAGGCAATTTTGGATTTGCTTCCGCTATTCGTTTCGATAAAAGCATATTGCCAAAAAATGACGAATCCATATCTCCATTCTCTTTGCCTTTCTACGAAGAATAAGGCTAGTACTGCTGTCTTATCTATAGGCTTAAAAGAGTTTCAAAAAGTGCTGGCGCCTTCGATCCCGGGGGTCGCTCTTAAGGGGGTGGCTATATATCCAACACCTATATTGGAACACTGCCCCACATCATCCCAATGCGTGGCGTGATCTCTGAGAGAAGCTGTACTGATTTCCTGAATAAATTTCAGGCATAGCTGCCTGCGTAAAATGGAGTTAAGGGTCTCTTGTTTTCATCTCACCTGCTTACTTTATCTCATTGAATGAAGAGAACCCATCGTAATCGCAATCCTTAATATTAGCATATCACGAGAAGACGTCAGATAGTAGGACAGAACTGGATCTTTTACTGGAAGCAGAAATTGGATAAGCGTACGAGCTATCCGTTGAGGTGTCCCGTTCCCGAAATTCATCCCATCAAAACCCGCACGGGTGCTCAAAGGTGACACCAAGTGAGGGCGTGATGCTTTAAAAATGTCATTTACCTCACCCAACATCGAATGAAATGCAACGACAGGCTTAGTGCTCACCTGTCGCCTGTCTCAGCTGGTGTTAGCAGAAAACCATGCGTGTGGCCAGAGCTAAGAGGAAGGTACTCCCCGACTCGCAGAGGCCTGATCGCTCCCTGTCATGCGCGTTCTCTTCCACTGTTTTCACCTTACGCGTTTTTTAAAGCTTTTTTGACTCTCGATTGTATCCGGTACAAAACGGGCCTTGCTTGATGTCTGAGAGAGATTTTGCGTGTATTCCAGAACAAAATGAGCTAGTTCCTCAAAAAATAAGGCGGTGGACCAAGGTAATGAATGTCCAATGGCAGCAAGATGTTTTCCCTAAAAAGGGCTTTATCAGAAAGAACTTAAATTCCGACATGCCTGGTAAGCTTAAGTGTAATATCTGCAGGATCAGTTGACAAAACCCTGTCCATCCCTAAAACGCCGTTAATCTGTCCACCACTAAAGCGCAGTCGAGCATGGTTTACATCATCTAACGTTCCGATGGAAACAAGCTTTTTTTACTTCCGTGTTATTGAGGTATATTGCTGTAATATTGAACCGTCGGATACGTAGAATGCGTACTGTTCTCTCAACGTGATAATGAATGCAGGTGGTTCAACCTGTAGCACTAAACAATAGCTATGATGGAGTATAGCTATTGATTTTCTTCGACAAGCATCGAAAACTGCGTGCGGTAAGATGCTATTTACTAATATAACGGATGGCGTGAATAATGGGGTAGCTCTGATATGCATTGCTCTGACTTATTTACAGCCAAAATGTATGCATAAGGTTGCATTGCATTTTCGGAAGGAAGCCGATGCAATCTTTTCCAATCCGGTAAATCTTGCCGGTTATTGGTCGCCTTTGTTAAATAAATTGGGCAACAAATAATCATCGCACAACGAACCTCTTAAATTGTGAAAGCCACAGCTGCGTTCCTCATGCTCAATGACGAATATTGGTCCGCGCACGTCCTGGACGGCCGAACCATTGCCACACGCGACGGACATGGCACGCGCTCCTTAGCCCAGCAACGAGCTTTATAGTTACAGTTTTACGGAAGGTTGAAGACGAGGTATTACCATCACGGATGGCATAATTGCTCAGACTATCGTCCGCGTCCGGTGTGTTATCACGTACAATGTAAGCGTGTACACACCAACACACCAGCTGAGGATGTAGTATCGACCAATTATTCCATCCGCGACGTTTATAATTGTCGGGACACTCGACCTTCAGTACCTTTTGCTTAGTCCCGTTTGTTTTCTACTATGGTGCCACAAGAAACAACGTCTCATCACGGGCACATGACATTATCAGCGCATCTGACTGTCAAATTTGCCAACACGCATCTAACGCGATAGCGCACTCAGGTCGTCAGCATTAGTACGGTGCCGCAGGCGTCTATGCGGTGATCGACCAGCGCTGTCAGCGCTAACGAGAGCAGCGGCCGACCAAACAGAGCCATGAGCGCCATTTCCCTCGCAATTACCGCCGGCACGGGAGGCCGACGCTCGGGTTGGCCGCGGGATGCGTTCATTTATGGCGCGCCCGGCCGTGGTCAGCCGTGACGCCGCCGCCCGAGCGCGCCCCGGCACCACTGCGACCGCGCGCGCGGCACCATTATAGCGGCTGGAGGTGCAGCCGCCCGGGCGCGTCCCGACAACACTGCGACCGCGCGCGCGGCACCACTGTGGCGGCTGGAGGTGCAGCCGCCCAGTGCGCCCCGACACCACTGCGACCGCGCGCGCGGCACCACTGTGGCGGCTGGAGGTGCAGCCGCCCAGTGCGCCCCGACACCACTGCGACCGCGCGCGCGGCACCACTGTGGCGGCTGGAGGTGCAGCCGCCCAGTGCGCCCCGACACCACTGCGACCGCGCGCGCGGCACCACTGTGGCGGCTGGAGGTGCAGCCGCCCAGTGCGCCCCGACACCACTGCGACCGCGCGCGCGGCACCATCATAGCGGCTGGAGGTGCAGGCGCTCGAGGTCAGTTGGGGCTCACAACCCAGTCGATTAACCGAGGGCGCACCTTCCCCAAAAACGCTAATTTTCGCCGTATTTTGTTGTCTCGCTTTATTTTGCCTTTTGGGAAAAATTGGAATGTTAAATCTTGTGGTCATCTTTTTCACTTTACTTTTGCTTTTTGGGCGTCAAAAGACCGCCGCAACTGAACCACCCCTAAATCTGAACATTTTCAGCAAAGGTACTTTTTTTCCTTGAATGTAAATTGATAGAAATGAAAAACCTTTTAGCACACTTATTGAAAACGGCATTCATTTATTCGTGCTGTCTTCCTTGCCTCCTCTTTTTCCTCGAATGTGTCACGGTCATGGCTTAGACTGGGAGGGCGCTAGTCCAACTTCGGCAAGACCAGCCGCAATCTGAGGGGCTCTGGCGTAAATCGGAGGGAGGGTGCTATACTGGGTGTTAAAGAGGTCCAAGCCTCCCGCTGGGAACGATCGCCCGCCCTTGCACGCCGCCCGCCGGCGCGCCCCGCCGCGCCGTCACGGGCGTTAAGTGCCCGTGGGTTATGCAGAAGGCGAGCGCTTTCGGCTGGGATCGCTTACGTGTTGCCCTCCCTTATCGACTGCCGCTGTTGATTCAGTGGGCCGATATCGGAAACAGTTGCCGCTCCGGATAGCCACGGCGATGGAGTCCTTGAAAGCTGTTGGGGACATATATGGTGCCGCTCACCAAAGGAACGGCTGCAATCTCCGGGGATGGTCGATACTCAAAGCCTCGGTCGTTAGCTCACACATCTAAGTTGGTCCAAGCCACGATATATGAGCATACTCCATGCATGCTGAGTTAAACTAAAAACGGCAGCGGGGGCTGAGGAATAATGTGGGTCTATACGATACGCTCGCTCGGGCTGCGATCACAGACGTTTATTTAACCAGGCACCGCGGTTTCAGCATTGCCATTACGTTCCTTCGGGCGAGGCACGCGTTGCTTTTATGCACGCGTATCTGAACTTCACGTAACTGTGCCAGATCAAAGGGCCTCGCCATCAATATCAGAGCAGCAATGAATGTCTATCGGCATGCGTGGAATGAATTCCCAGAAAAGATTCGTAACGATCAAGGAGCATGTGCATTGGTCGGCAATGGGTTGAGTTTCCAGTGTGTTGCTCGTCTATGCGCAATAGTGAATTCGGATCAGCCCCGCACGCTATAACGGCAAGCTATCCAGGTCGTATGCGGACCTTTCCGTGGAGCATTTTACGCTCCACTTGCGGGGCCAATTACGGACTATTTTGCAGCGTATCTATCTTCTTATCGGCACGCCAGCCGCGAACGCTGGCCGCCGCGCATTTTAATCAAGGCGACGCCAACAAAACACCGCGCTGCCTCATGCAGCGAGCGCTGTTATCAAAACAGCAGGAGATGGCAGCGATCCTGCTTGCGTTAGAGCGCCATCTGACACGGCTGGTGCGGAGTATCCCCGGCGTCCTCCGCGGCATGGCACGTGGCCCACGTGCTGCGTATCACCAGCCCGCCATTGTCTGTTGCAGAGGATGGACACGAACCGGGACGGCGTGGTGACCCTGGACGAGTTCCTCGACTTCTGCTCGTCCGACCAGACGGTACTGCATTCGCTCTCACAGCTCACCACCGTGCTATGAGTGCCGGTTGTCGGGGCTGGGTCACGTGACCAGACGGTGCTGCTCTCGCTCTCACAGCTCACCACCATGCTATGAGTGCCAGTCGCCAGGGATGGGTCAGCCGGCCGGCCGGTACAGGGCACGCGGCTGAATCTTACTCGGCTCTGTCACCGGCCACGCCGTCCAGTGGTATGGTTAGACAGAACACCTGTGGCCACCTGGACCACAGCGATCAGCACACAGCAGTCAACAACCAGCATCAGACCGAACACTGGAGCCGCGATCAGCACGGCAGTGGCGGCTTGGGGGACCGAACTCTTCAAGAGAGGGTGTGTTCGCGTCTACGGTCGGCCTCAGCCCGGCTGGGCGGGTAACGCCCGGACCCCGGCCGTGCTATGTACGATCACCGGACGCGAATTCTGCACTCAGTGGCGTGCGTCGCTGTGCGTGCCGGGCGCGTGAGCGTCCGCGGCAGCCGCAGATGGTCCGCAGGCGGCGACGACCCGCCCCCGGCAAAACACTAATGGCCGCCGGGCCGGCTCGGGTTCCGGCCGCCGGGCGGCAAAGAACGGTCGGAGGCACGGGCCGACGAGCCCAGCGAGCTGCTTTCGGCCCAGCATCGACTCCGGCTCCGGCCCTGGCCCCTGCCCTAGCCCTGGCTCCGGCTCCGACTCCGGCTCCGGCCCCGGCTCCGGCCCTGGCCCCGGGCCCGGCCCTGGCTCAGACCCCCGCCCCGGTCCCGGCCCTGGCCCCGGTCTCAGCCCCGGCTCAGCCGGTTTACGGCCTGCGGGGTCGGATTGGCCGGGCCGGAGCCGGGCCGAGGATGGCGACAGGTCCGGCGGTCCCGCGGGGACTCCGCCCGCCCGGCGCCGCCGAACCACTGATGGACAGCCGGCGACCGCGCGCCGCTGGCGCCGGGGCCGCCGCCGGCCCGGGCCCGCCGCGGACGGCAGCGTGGGGCGAGGCATGCCGCCGGCCCGGGGCCCGCCGCGGACGGCAGCGTGGGGCGAGGCATGCTGCCGGCCCGGCCCGCCGCGGACGGCAGCGTGGGGCGAGGCGTGCCGCCGGCCCGGGGCTCGCCGCGGACGGCACCGTGGGACGAGGCACGCCGCCGGCCCGGCCCGCCACCGAGCGGCGGCGACAGCGCTCTTCAGCGTGCGAGTGATTGCGGCGGCGGCACGAATAGAAATGCTATCGATCAGTCGGCCGGCGCCGGTATAAATTTTAGAGTGTTTCGTATCGGAGCGATGTTTGAGCAACGCTGGACAGCGAGCGGTAGCAGTGTGCTGGGCGTGTCGGCCCCTCGGCTGATCCTGGTCTGGTGACGTGCGTGGATCGACCCCGAAGAACCCAAGTGTGACGGCCCGGTGACTTGTGACGCACCATTTCGGTGTGTGCACGCTTGTTAGCGGCCTCACTGGCGTTGTTGGCGTGTTAGCTTTTCTAAAGACCGCGTTCGTGACAGTCATACACGAACCGTGGCATTCTCTTAATCGCGTCCTAATGCATGCTCGTATTAAGCCACATCGTGTACTTGTGTCTGCGAGCGACCTTGCGACACTGGGGCATGCATGCTAATGATGGAGAGAAGCAATGACCCTGATTAACTGTTTAATCATGCAAATTCTTGCCATGGAATCGTGGAGGCAGATAGGACAGCGAGACATTGAGGCAGCGGGACATTGTTCACCATGCATCGTTCATTTATTGTCACCTTGAAACATGCCGCTGTAAAAGATATTTGACTTGGGAAGCCATATGTGCTTGAAGGCCATCGGTACAGGAAAAGGATGTCTGATCATGGTGAGTCGACTGCAAAGAGCTTACCGCAAAAAGCTTAGCGACCCGCCGAAAAGGAATATTAAACTGGCATCGCGTCAGGACAATGGCAAGCTCGTAAGATAACCAACGGCAACATCGGACAATTCCGAACCTTACGAATGCCCGCACAAACAGATCAGAATACAACACGAGCAGCATCCGCGAAGTGACCCTGCCACTGGCACAGGTGCATAAGTTCGAGCCTTCGAACCACCCACCTACACGCGCGGCGTACACAAATTATCACCCGGGGTGGCCTGAACACTCCAGCGCCTGGCTTCAGCCTGGTGGCCAGTCAGCGCCTGCTGTCATCTCCTGCTCACGCGCGCCCCGCGCCGCAGCGGAGCTCCCAGCGACCTCAGGGGCGCCTCACGACGCGGGCTCCGGCCGTGACCAGACAACGTCACAGGCCGGAGGGACGCCTCGGCGAGCCGCTAGCGCTCCAGCAGCTCAAACAGCGCATCGGCCTGAGCGAGTGCCTCGTCCGCCTTCTCGCAGTACTGGAGCAGCGGCGCCGGCACCGCTTCCATGCCGTGGTACGCCCCTGTCGGCAGAGGGGGCGTCAACGACTGGACACCGAGGCTGGCCACGCAGAGGGCAACCTCTACATCCATCATCTACATCTACTACATCTACAGCATCGCCTAAAAGCTGAGGTACACTGCTGTGGAACAAACGAGACATCGAGATTTCCTCCACACCGTAGCACGTCCATGTACGAAAAAGAAACGGGGCAGGGGCACCAGCACCCACGGGTCAACCGCCTCAACTGGAACGGAGAAGGCAGGGTCAGCACGACGGATACCCATCGGAGCGGGACACGCCGTGGTGCGGCCGCAGCTGAGCCGATCCCCACAGCCCGCAGGACGGGGCGCCCAGCCAGACAGTGCCACTGGGCGTTCCCCAGCGGCGGGCCCGGGCTCCCCAGCCGAGGCGACCCCGCGGCGCCGGCGGCGGCGGTTCCCGGTCACGCAACGGATCAGAGGCCGCATAATCGAGGCGTTCGGCGGAGCCCGCTGGCGGCGATATGGCGTATGGCGCAGCCAATACCCGGGCGGCGGCCGGCGCAGGGGCGCGTCATCGCCGGAGGAAACAGCGGCCGACGGACGCCTCCCGCGGCCGCGGCCCGACCCGCCGCCGGAGACGGCGGCCGACGACCGCCCCCCGCGGCCGCGGCCCGACCCGCCGCCGGAGACAGCGGCCGACGGGCGCCCCTCGCGGCCGCGGCACGACCCGCCGCCGGAGACAGCGGCCGACGAGCGCCCCTCGCGGCCGCGGCCCGACCCGCCGCCGGAGACAGCGGCCGACGAGCGCCCCCCGCGGCCGCGGCACGACCCGCCGCCGGAGACAGCGGTCGAGCTCGGCGGGTAGCGGCGAGGTCGGAAGACCGGCCGCCGTCGTCGTCAGCGCCCGTGTCATTACGAATCAATCACTCACCAGTCTCTCGTACACGATCTCGTTTCGTAATTAGAGAACTTTCGACAGCATTCGATTCGGCTTGGATCCGACAGCCTACTGCGTCGGTGCTCGCCAAACTCCCGCCGACTGTCAGTTATACTCATCAGTCCATCTCCCCACCCGGCTGACGACCTCGGCCCGCACTCGGCATCGTCACCCGTTACCGGCCCCCAGTCAGTCCCCAGCGACGGTCGGGCCCAGCCGCGGCACTGTAGCCCGGTCCGCAGGCCGGGAGCAGTCTGCCGGTACTGACCGGCACTGCCCTGAGGCTGTCGGTACCGACCGGCACCGCCCTGGGGCTGTCGGTACTGACCCGCACTGTCCTGGGGCTGTCGGTACTGACCGGCACCGCCCTGGGGCTGTCGGCACTGACCGGCACCTGACCGGCACCGCCCTGGGGCCGTCGGTACTGACCGGCATCGTCCTGGGGCTGTCGGTACTGACCGGCACCGTCCTGAGGCTGAAAGCGGCGTCAGTGCGGCTCAGCGGCGGCCATACACGGCCAGTTTTCGGAGGGCGCGGGGGCGGCCCGGCAGTAGTGACACCGGAAAGCAGCTGGTGTCTGTAGGTCACGGGGCGGCCGGGCAGTGGTGACCCCCGTGAAGCGGCTGGTGTCTGGAGGTCACATGTATAGTTAATTTATATATATATATATATATATATAATATCGCAGCATATTATATATTGTATATATAATCACGCAGAGGTGACTCCGGGGAGCTGCCGGTCTTCGGCGCTCGCAGGGGCGGCCCGGCAGCGGGGACCCCCGGGGAGCGGCCGGTGTCCGGAGGCCGCAGGGGCGGCTGGGCGGTAGTGACCCCCGGGGAACGGCCGGTCTTCGGTGCTCGCAGAGGCGGCTGGGCAGTGGTGACCCCGGGGAGCGGCCGGTCTTCGGCGCTCGCAGGGGCGGCCCGGCAGCGGGGACCCCCGGGGAGCGGCCGGTGTCCGGAGGCCGCAGGGGCGGCTGGGCAGTGGTGACCCCCGGGAAGCGGCCGGTCTTTGGTGCTCGCAGGGGCGGCTGGGCAGTGGTGACCCCGGGGAGCGGCCGGTCTTGAGTGCTCGCAGGGGCGGCCCGGCAGTGGGGACCCCGGGGAGCGGCCGGTCTTTGGTGCTCGCAGGGGCGGCTGGGCAGTGGTGACCCCGGGGAGCGGCCGGTCTTCGGCGCTCGCAGGGGCGGCCCGGCAGTGGGGACCCCGGGGACCCCGGTGACCCCGGGGAGCGGCCGGTTCAACACGAAACGCACGAGGCTGGCTACGGAGGGCCAGCGTGGCTAACCGGGAGGCACACGTGGCCAGACAGGGCATATGTACACCCTATGGGGGTTGGTGCTCAGCTCCGGCGCAGAGCTGAAGACCGATTGCCCCATGTGACACAGCCAAAAATTAACTTTAAACGTGAGAGGCAACTAGATCAGGCGTGTGGCACACGGACCACAAAGGTGGTAATCTTGATCCCAGTCTTATCAAACAACTTGGATTTTTCAACTGAAATGGCTATGTTGAGAGCATTTTTGCATCGAACCCCTACATCTTCAGCCTCGAAATAGTTCCTTTGGCGAAATTTGCATTGGGTTAATCCAATTGCAGCGCAACTATTTGTTCAGAACACTTTGCGACAAATTTGGTCTTGTGATCAGTGGCATGCGAGCTTTAAAAAGCCCGTCTCAATGGCGATATGTTATCCAACGCAATCTAATCCGCGGAAAACTTGGCGACTTTGGCCTCGCGATAAAATAACTTAATTCTGCCGTAAGCAGCGCCAGAGCCTCGGCGCCACGCCTACGGCGAATTCGACGGGCTGTTTAAACTGATTGGCCGGCCGCCAACAGGCTCAGTCACCGCCAAACTTGAAGCAAACAGTACTGTTAACAGCTCTGACCAGCGTTTTGCTCTTAAATCTAACGAAATGAACAGACTTAAGTATGATTTGGAAAACGTATTGGCCAGGAGTACTTTCTGGAGTCATGTACACTAGAACTGACAAGAGAATGTGTCATGTATATCCTGGAAAGTATATGACACTAGAATGTCACATGTCTGGCTAGTGACACGTCGTGAGAACGTTGAAAGAGAATCACTATCAATACCGCGCATTCACTGCGGACAGTTTTTGCCATATTCCTCAAATTTAACAATTCCGCTGTCTGACAGACAACTGTGAGTGGACAGATGGCAGCACACGGAGAGTGCTCGGATGACACCCTCCAGCTGTCTGACAGACAACTGGACGGTGAAGTGGACAAATGACAACACACGGATAATGTCCAGGCCGAGCTCCCAACACAGACGCGATAAACTATCACCGTGTTCGCGCTGCACGGGACTAAAAACCCACAACGGGCGAGCAACAGGAGTCTCGTAAATACTGAACAGCATGGGGGGGGGGGGGCGGAGGGGGAGGGGGGAGAAAACGACCGCCTCATCCAACTGCTGCGCCCACTGTGGATGGACGGAGCAGCCTTCAGCGGCTGTTCGCAAGTGAAGCCGATGAGTCGGCTCCGCGTTCGCAGGCGTGACCCCTACTTCGGTTACGTTCGTGAACTCGGAGGCGAGCAGTGCTGCTCACGGCTCCAGCATAAGTCCGGTGCTTAACATGTTACGACCGCGTTGTTTGCAGTTTTATCGTTGAGTTCCTCGTTTGCAGGCCGGCCACCCAGCAATCATATATTCATGATCTCCGCGACAGCTCACTCACGGCTGGTGGATTATTCAGCGCCGCTCTCACCGTCGCGACGAGCACTGATTACTGTTCTATTCATCACGGTTACCGACTGCGCTGCCCGTCTATTAACGTCAGAGAAGCCATCTCACGTAATTGCTATGGCAGCAATTGACCCAAAGCGTTCAAATGCGGGAAACGTTAACGACGTCTGTCGCCGTCGATAAACGGTACCGTGTTGTGTCCGACTTGGTGACTTAGTGCTTGAGAAAGGCAGGAGTGTCTAAAGACCAAGCTAATATCGAAAGAAATACAAGTTGGAGAAGAAAATTGTTTGAAAGGCATGTAAGAGCGAGCGACAAAAAGTATCGCGATGTCGCCCGGCCAGCTTCCATCAGTCGTCGCTTTCGAACCGGAACCGCAGCCGGTGGGGATTGTACTGCTCCATTCCAGCATTTACATACAAAGCCAGTGGCATCGAGCCGGTCCGTCTGTGTTGCTCATCCGTCGCAGCCGGCTCTGGCGGCGCCCGTGCCGTCTGGTGGCGGGGGCTGGCCTTCCATCAGCGCCGGATCAGGACCGACCCGGGCCGGCGCAGCTCTGATAGCCACGCCGATCCGACCCGAGACCAGCCGCCGCCCGGCCCCGACCGGCAGCGGCGCTCGTCTGACGCGCCTCTGGGAGCCCCGGCGATCCGACCGGAGACCGGAGACCGGAGACCGGCCGCCGCCCGGCCCCGTCCGGCAGCGGCGCTCATCTGACGCGCCTGTGGGAACCCCGGCGATCCGGCCGGAGACCGGAGACCGGAGACCGGCCGCCGCCCGGCAGCGGCGCTCATCTGACGCGCCTGTGGGAGCCCGACGATCCGACCGGAGACCGGAGACCGGCCGCCGACCAGCTCCGTCCGGCAGCGTGCGGCTCGTGCCGGAGACCGGCCGCCGCCGGTCTCGTGCGGCGGCGAGCTTTTAAAGAATCAGATAACACCGGCACGATCAGCAGACAAGCTTTCAATGGTCGCAGTTGGCACCGAATGTCAGCTGGGGAAGCATATTCCCCCTGAATAGGACGGTCAGTCGGACAGCAGTGAGCCGGCTCGTGTGTTTCAGACCACGCTGGGATTGCTCGTCGAGTTCTTTGACAGCAGCCGGATATCAGCTTGGAAGAAAAACATATTGACAATGTCAACAGGCGAAACCATGTTCTACACGCGCCGTAAATAAATGACGACTTGGCTTCTCCGGTGCATAAGTTATGCAGTAGCAGCTAGGCCTAAGTATACGCTATGAGCTATCTAATAAAACCTGACAGAGCAACACAGAAGCATATGTCAGACAGAGTAACGATGCCGAGCACCGTCGTCGCAAAAATGGGTTGGGCGTGATCTAAGCTGGTTCTATTTACTTCGGAATAGCGAGCACAGGCTAACAACTTTCCAAGTGCATGTGGCGAATTGGATAGCAACTCAATTACAGGATAGACGGCCGGTGTAATCAGTCCGAATTACAGGCCTTTTACGACCGGGAAATTGCAAACATTTCAATTCCAGCTTGGCAAAGTCAAAACACAAACTGCTACTGCAATGTTTGCAGGTCCTTGCAAGACGCTGCAAAAGTTCTTCACTATGGGCGGATATTTAAGATCAACCGCCCAATCCTCTCTCCTTTAGAACCTACTGAAAAACACACTTTCATTTCTATCAGAAAGTCATCAGCCACCTGTCCGTGAAATTTGGGATAATATTACCACGTGATTACCCAAGCGCAGATCATAATTGCATTTGGAAAAAATTACGCAGATGTCTCGCTGCGCAAATAAAACAGTTCCCAAGTGACACTTCGTCGAAAAAAGAAACGTGCTAGATGAAAGTGTTAGAATTTTCTCCAGTAGTGCTTCTAGTATAGAAGTGCTAGAATTTTCTTGTCGGAAAAAAGATCGCGCTACGCAGGGTGACCGGAGGTGAGGGTGATCATGCTAGATGTGCCTGCACACAACATCGGACGTTTCTGCCGCTGAATCACGGAAAACATGCGGCGTTAAAATGAGATCGACTGGCAAAGCGATCGACCAGCTGGGGCCGCCGGGAATGCGGCCCAGTCGGCGGGGCGTCAGGGCGCGGGTCGTGACGGCTGGCAGCGCACGGCCCCGTCGGCGGGGCGTCAGGGTGCGGGTCGTGACGGCTGGCAGCGCACGGCCCCGTCGGCGGGGCGTCAGGGCGTGGGTCGTGACGGCCGGCAGCGCACGGCCCCGTCGGCGGGGCGTCAGGGTGCGGGTCGTGACGGCTGGCAGCGCACGGCCCCGTCGGCGGGGCGTCAGGGCGTGGGTCGTGACGGCCGGCAGCGCACGGCCCAGTCGGCGGGGCGTCAGGGCGCGGGTCGTGACGGCCGGCAGCGCACGGCCCCGTCGGCGGGGCGTCAGGGCGCGGGTCGTGACAGCCGGCAGCGCAGTGTGCATGCTTCACGGGCTCTGGTGCCGCCGACCGGGTGAGAGCCGGAGACGGCCACGTTCCATTTAGTTACATAAGCCGGTTAGCATTCGAAAGAGCGCCGCCAGAGCCCAGCGCGCCTAACTCCTCCTGGGGCCACACTTCTCGGAGGAGCGGGGGTTTCGTATTCCGGTGGAGCGGCCAACCCCATCCCCCCACTTTGCTGTGAGTCCCACGAACTTTAGAGGTGAAGTGGGCTAAATGAACGAAGGAGTTGAACATTGCATATAAATGGCAAAGTTTTAGTCATTTTGACACGGATACGCCTCCTCCCTCCCCCCGCCCCTCCCACTCACACGAACACAAAGGTTTGGCAAGATGAACTTTCTACTATTGGGCACCCAGCACCCTAGTCCGACTCAAGGATACTCTTCGACCCGTTGGATACCAGGTGGAAGAAAGGACCTGTTTTTTTATGAAATCATTCGGATCTTTGTTCCATGCCGTTAACCATTGTGTGGTCTCAAGGCCATCAATTCCCTGCGGTATGCAAACACATTGCCAATATCTTCCCATATTTTAAACGCGCCATTTCGTGCTGCAGCGGTGCGCGCGACTCAAAAATGAACGCAATCGATTCCAGCAAGGTAACCTTGCAAGTAAAGTGTTCAAACTTAAGTTGAAAAAGCCACCCGTTATTTACCATTGCGACATGCGCAATAGATTCAGTACAAAGTTAAGTAGTTCCGTTCCCACCGTCATGTTTTTCACCAAAACTGCATAACACATTCATAAAGCATTATCCGGCCTCGGGCCCAAAATGAAATGTGTTTGTGATATAAGCAGATGCGCTTCCCAAAAAAGTTCATACAGCAATCAGCGTCTCGCTCCCGCTCTAGCTCTCGTTCTCTCGCTCTCTCGATTTGGGCCCAGCACATGGTGCAACACAGTTGTCCGGTGGTACACGCTGCGCCCCAGTGTCCCGAAACGCACAGACCCGCCTTTCCCACGCATTAATTCAGGCCTTCAAGCTAACCAAGGCTGCGCAAGGTAACCTCCAAGGAACCCTCACGACGCCCCCTCACCTCACCCCACCCCCCCCTAAACCAGCCCGGTGCGGCCTTCGACACGATCGAGCGGACGTTGAAATCCCCGCGCGCTGACGCTGAGCTTTTGCGATGACAGGACACCGTAGTACCATTGCGCCCGGCGCCATCTGCCGCCCACGAACAGACAGGAGCGGGCGGCCACACCCGACACGGTGCGCCTCCACCGAGTTGGCGTGCTCACACCGAACGTGCTCGCTCGGCTCACACGCCCCGGCCTGACGCCGAACGTCCGCGTGCGCCGCGCTCGACGTCCAACCGCCAGCGATGTCGGCAGGCGTGACGAGCGGGAGCCACGCGGACGGCGCCGGCCGCCCTGCGAGCCGATCCGCGATCTCCATCTCAGCTGAGCTGCGCCATGTCCCCCGGGCCGGTGCAGGGCCCCCTCGCTGGGACTGGAGTCGGACTCGGGTGGGGAGGGGGGGGGGGGGGGGGCACACTCATGCCGGCCGACCGACGCGCCGGTGACCGTCCACACAGGCGTCACTGGGCCATGGCGGGACGGCCTGACCGGAGAGGTTGGCCGGTTGGCCGCCCGCCGCCGGTTACTCCTCAGACGCCGCGGCCTGCTGCTCGCAGATGCCAGGCAGGTCAGGCACCACAGTCAGAGGCGGTCACGGCTGGCCGCCTCCCCACAGAGGACGGCGGGGTGGGGCGGGGCCGGGCGGAGGCGGGGGAGAGGGCAGGGACGGGGGCGGGGGCGGGTCGGGGCGAGGGCGAGGGCGAGGGCGAGGGCGAGGGCGAGGGCGAGGGCGAGGGCGAGGATAGGGACGGGCATGGGCGGAATTCCTGGAATGGGCGGAATAATCTGATCAGCGCGAACCGGTTTCCGAGCCCGAAATCTCTCGGTCAGCTAAATCATTGCTGCTTTGGCGTTTCACCTTCGATCGCAACGTTGTGGATTAAAATAATGTCATAAAAAGCAGCACTACCACTCCCCCATGGGCCATTCGAGGGTAAAAACTTTCCACGACTTACACCGTAACGAGAAAACCCCAGGAAAAGTGCAGTATACATCAGTAAAAGTGCAGTATGCATCAGTAAAAGTGCAGTATACATCAGTATAAGTGCAGTACACACCAGTATAAGTGATGTATACATCAGGAAAGTAGGCCGCAGCCTTCCAGGTATTGCACGCCCAAGCCTTGTACGCATGCCCACAAAACACGCATGGTTGTGTGCTCTCGCGTGTTTCGTAATTTTCTGTCACGAGTGTTTAAAGAACTGCCACATATGTGAGCGACTCTCATCAAATTCCAAAGCAGCAGAAAGAATCAGTTAACGGAAAGCGCTACCTCAAATTTCGAAACAGCGTAACCTTACGACGCTGCACGGAAAAGCATTTGTACACCACCTTGCACTCGCTGCTCAAGATGGTTTTGGTTTCACATACATTCTGTGAGAGGCGGGACCGTCAGGGCGGGGATGGGGGGGGGGGGGGGGGGGGGGGGGGGCACTGCAGCGCTGTGTCCAAGCTTGAGCCGCCCCTCCCACACGTACGTAGAGCGTGCGTGCAATGTACATGAGCCGACCCGGACGGGAAGCTGTGGAAGCCTGCGCACAGCCGGACCTTTAACGAGGTGACCGTCAACTCGGTGGCCGGCACCCGTCAGCAAGTGAGACTGCCCACCGTACGCAGGGGACAGCCGGCCTATCTCAGCGTGCCAGCGGTGCTGCGTCACCCAACAACGGGCGGCCAAGAGGCCAGCAGTGGCGCAGGCGCGCACGCAGGAGCTCGAGCTGAAACGGAGCTCACTGCCCACAGAGCACAGCTGAAACGGAGCCCACAGCTCATAGAACACAGCTGAAACGGAGCCCACAGTTCATAGAGCACAGCTGAAACGGAGCCCACGGCTAATAGAACACAGCTGAAACGGAGTCCACGGCCCATAGAACACAGCTGAAACGGAGCCCACGGCTAATAGAACAAAGCTGAAACGGAGTCCATGGCCCATAGAACACAGCTGAGATAGAGCCCATGACCCACAGAGTAACGTTAAAACGGAACCCACGGTCCACAGAGCACAGCTGAAACAGAGCTCACGGCCCACAGAGCACAGCTGAAACAAAGCCCACGGTCCACAAAGGCTGAAACGGAGCCCACGGCCCACAGAAAAAGTTGAAACGAAGCGCGAACCGACAAGGCGACAGCTGAAACTGATCACACAACACAGCGCACCTGAGACGAGACGCACGGCACGGGACTCAAAAGGCTGTAGAGGGCCCGGCGCGGCGCGACTGCCACCCCGCCTCGGACGGCACACTCACCGGCGATGGCACCCGCCATGGAGCCGATGGTGTCCGTGTCTCCGCCTAGCGAGATGGCGTACTGGATCGTGCGCACGAATGGACTCTCCGCCTGCCGACGAGAGGGCCGCTCATTAGCCAGCCGTCGGCGGCGCGCGGCCGACCCCGCGGGCGACCGAGGTCGGGGTCGAGGGGGCGGGGGGTGGGGGGGGGGACCCACACCAGCGGGACACCGCAGACCGGGTGACGGACAGTGTCGATCCGGATCTCGCTGCGTTCCGTTGGCGGCCGGCCGTGACTGCGGGAGGTCAGACCAGGCTTCTCTCCTGAGACGGCGGGGGGGGGGGGGCACAGGAGAGATCTGATCTGATCGGATCTTTAGATGAGGAGAGAGCAGATCTGCCACAGGCGGCTCGGGTCGAATCGACCCCCGCAGACCGCCGGAGTTGGGAAAGTCGGCCTTTGCTGCCTTGTTGAATGCCAGAGAATGCTTTGTTCCAGAACCGAAGCTAAACAAAGAAAACACGATGTGTCCACACCAGAACAAAAAAAGCGCAGTCAGTATGGGAGAAGAACCATTTCAAGCACTTGCCTCAGAAAATACGAAAGGTCTTTGAAGAGATACAATGGGATCCTAGAAGTGTTCCCAGTCGGAACCAGGCATGTCTGCTGAGGCAGTGCACTGCAATCGGGAAAGCTGTCTGCAGACTGCAAATGACTTAAACTGCGGCATTTTGCCACGCAATATGTGTGCATCCCTTCCGTGGCGAGGAATCGGTGATGCATCATCATCGGTGGCGGCTTCAAACAGAGCCCAGATACCAATGAGAACACCAACGTCCAGGACATCACCAGCGTCCCCACTTCAGAGTCCGTCGGGTATCAACTCTAGCTTCGACAAGGCTCCCTTACCATCGACGGATCGTAACATTTTCCACTAAACGCAACACCAAATGGCCTCCGTCGGAAGGGCCGTGCCTGCGCAATGGATGCCGCGCTGCCAGCGGTCGGCACATGTCGGTGATGTAATCACTATGCGCTGAGAACGCCTCTTATCGCCCGATGCCCTCCATTAAATTTTGCAACACCCCAGTCCACGACTATCGAAAAGGTTTACATTCTAGTCAGTGGTTGGCCAGGAGCCCTTATCCGCTGGCACTCGTACCCCGGACAGGTCGAAGCACGGAGAGCCGATGGCAGCGGTGAAGATAGGCATTGTATGGTGAAGAGAGCCAGCAATGCACTATTCCAAGCAGCCCCTTGTCTTGCTTGTTATTTAATGCTTGCCAAGCATACGTGCGGTGCAAAAGTGGCACACGGTAGCACACGGTAAAGTAATCTCTATTACATGAGGTTAAATTCATAACCAAGTGGCACCACGTCAAAACTGATGTTTAAAAACAGCGTTCCTGATGTTCTGAGTCGGAAAACAGTTCTGAAAGGGGAGGAACACGTTTTGGAAGCCCACAGTTTCTCTGACGTACTTGCACCCATACTAAACCCGGAAAAATTCGCTCTGTTCGGGTTACAAATTATTAGTAAGTAGCAATTATGAATAGGTAAACGATGAATGCGGAGACAAATTATTATAGATAATCACGATTGACAGTAAGTCAACGTGAGACGCACCCACACCAATGAACACCAGACAAGTTTGACCCTGATCTGGTGGCTTGCCGATTGCGATCATCGTTGACAGTGCTCTTGCCCTCGGAGTGAAATGAGCAGTTTGATTGGAGCGTCCATGTATTGCTGTCTGATGCGGCGTGTGTCCTATCATGGAGTGTGCCGTTCCTGAGCTAAAATTGAATGCAGCGTCAGCAAACATTCACCACGCCGCAGTTCACAGGCATGTTGCTGGCCGTCCAAGTTGCTAACCTCCGCCCCGGCCCTTCGCTCGTGGGCGTCCGCCGAATGGCTCGGCGCCGGCACGGCACGTTCTCCTCGCTCTCCCCTGCCCTCTCTACGACCCCGGATGTACCGGAAACACAGCCTGATGGCCGACAGAGTAACGGGCAACACCAGCGAGAAGACCTCGGCCCCGGGCCAGGCCAACCATTTCCGTGCACAATGGGGCGATCCCAGAATGCAGTGCGAAGATCCAACCACGCGCGCCGAGACAATGGAAAAAGCTGGGGTGATCCAACCACGCACGCCGAGACAATCGAACCAGCTGGGGTGATCCAACCCCGCACGCCGAGACAATCGAACCAGCTGGGGTGATCCAACCCTGCACACCGAGACAATCGAACCAGCTTGGGTACCCAACCACGCGCACCAAGACAGTAGAGGAGGTTGGGATGATCCAACCATGCACGAGACAATCGAGCCAGCTTGGATGATCGGGCCACGCACACTGAGACGATTACACCGTCGGCAAAATCGCCGAAAACGGTGTACAAAAGCTCAACAGCGTTCGGCAAGACATCGTGACGAGGCCAGTCACGCCGTCATGAGCGGACAGCACGAGCTCTCGGAACCTCCGGATGACTGCGCCGGCCAGCGCTGTCGCCGTTCACACAGGCGTCGCGTCATCGGGACAGGGCGATGAACACGCCGCGTGCTAGGCCTCGCGGCGCTGCGTACACGGGTGACGGAGTGGGGCGGCAGACAAGCGGTCCGTCCCGCAGCCCTGGAGAATCCCGCTGACGTCAGACCCTGGCAACGTCAGACACTGATGACGTCACACTCCTCCCCGTGGTTCCGTCCGAGGTCCCGGCGCCGGCCGAGCCGCGTCTGCTCTTGATCGCCGCAGTCAGACCGCCGTCCCGTCGTCGAAAACGGCTGCATGGCCGGACGTACAGCCGTACCGCGGCCTTCTTTTCGGTTTGCTATTCCGGCCGCACTGATACGGCTGTCCGTCAGTGTCGGATCAGTTCTCGGGGAACGCCTGCACGTGTGCGCAGTCTGCACGAGCACAACGTTCAGGTTTCGAAGCATGCTCATTGAATTCATACCGGGCGGGCACTTGCGCACAGAGTCAATGTCCCGAATATAAAAGACTGAAGTGAAAAATTACTTTGAATGCAATCTTTGAACTAGTTTTTCACCCATAACAACCAACCAAAGGCGTCAAATCTCTGCTCGAGCGTGAATGTTATTATCTTGGCATCCGGACAAGCGTGCCGTAACAACTGCGTTACAACAGCCTGGGGTGAGCTGAAGAGAAGCGGTAGCTGGGCGGAACTCAAGCGGTGTGGTGTTACAAGTGCCCCACTCCAAACCACACCTCAGGAGCTTCCATTGCTTCAAAACTTCTGCTCTTGCTGTCTCTTCAATGTTCTGTTGTTCTGAAATGTCTCAGAACTACAGTCCGATGCAATTTTCCAAATGTCTTAGAGCAAGTTTCATTCAACTCTCTCGAACACGGCGCGTTAGCTTTCAGGTACCTCAGGCGGCCGTGTCTTGGCGTGTATGGGTACCTCAGGCGGCCGTACCTTGACGTGCATGGCGCAGTAAGGGACCAGGAGCACAATGATTGCGTGAGACATCCTGTCCAACAGCATCGCTGCTTGTAGCACTCTGGACCGGTAGTTCGCAAACTCACGTATTCAAAAGGTGTTTCGCCTGTCATACAGCAGCACAACTCGGCTACTACCTGGTCATCTCTATTCAAGCCCTACCTTCAAAAGTGAAACATGCCCCCCCCCCCACCCCATCCCGTGCCGCAAAGATATTTGGGCACTATCCCACAGATCCCAAAAAGTTCCACACTGTGTACGACTCGGAGGCTGGCACGACCGTGTCTCAAGGCCACACTGCGCGCGCGACGGCCGGGCATACTACTGCAGGACACGACATTCACTGCGCCTTGAGAACATCCACCAAGCACTGAGAACGAGCTCCACTGTGCCCTGAGAGCGACATCCACCGTGCCCTAACAACGACATCCATCGTGCCCTTAGAACGACATCCGCCGTGTCCTGAGAACGGCATCCATCGTGCCCTGCGAACGACATCCACTGTACCCTGAGAACGACATCCACTGTGCCGTAAGAATCACATCCACTGCGCCTTAAGAACGACATCCGCCGTGTCCTGAGAACGGCATCCATCGTGCCCTACGAACGACATCCATCGTGTCCTAAGAACGACATCCATGATGTCCTGAGAACGACATCCACCTTGCCCTAAGAACGACATCCACCGTACCCTGAGAACGACATCCACCGTGCCCTAAGAACGACATCCACCGTGCCCTACGAACAACATCCACCGCGCCTTGAGAACGACATCCACCGTGCCCTACGAACGACATCCACCGCGCCTTGAGAACGACATCCACCGTGCCCTAAGAACGACATCCACCGCGCCTTGAGAACGACGACCGCCGCGCTGGGGCTGACGCCGTCCGTCGCTTATCTAATTGCCCTCCGTATGGTAAGTGGGCGGCGGCTTTATGCTAAGCAGCCGAGCGCACTCCTGGGCTCGCGGCGCCCCCCCCCCCCCCTCCCCGGCGGGCGCACTCGCGCCATAGCAGAGACCCCCGGCCGTCGGAAGGCAGTGCCGTAAATCTGGCCCGATTCGCAGCAGCCGCGCCGGTACGCATACGCTCCGTGAAACCATGGGCTGTCAGCTGCCGGGCTTCACTTTCGTGCAACCAGTTCTTGAACGCGGGCCGAACATCCGAAAACTTGAACCCTTACGACCAGCTGTTTTTTAGGAAGGCAAACAATTAATCAGAAGTAGGTCTAAACAAATCTAGGAAGGGAAGGCATGCTAGCGAGGGTTGCAAGATCAGCCTGAAACGCAAGCTCGGGGCAACATTGGCGTGTTACAGATAAAGTTTTCCAGAAACGTATAAAAATATACCTAAAAGTTAGGTGCTCATCAATACGTAAACAGACGCTTTGGTTTTTCATACAGGTGATGGAAAAAATGAATGAGCTACCGCATGTAGAAGGTTGGTCACGAGGCTCCGGGTGCCCTCCGCACGGGGTGCAGTCGACAGAAACCGGGTGTCCTCCGTACGGGGTGCAGTCGACAGAAACCGGGTGTCCTCCGTACGGGGTGCAGTCGACAGACACCGGGTGCAGTCGACAGACATCGGGTGTCTTCCTCAAGGGGTGCAGTCAGACACCGGGTGTCCTCCGCACGGGGTGCAGTCGACAGACATCGGGTGTCCTGGCCGACTGACGTCCCCAGGCAGGCGGTTGCTTGCCAGGCCACGCGGCGACATTAGGCGGACATGACCGGTGAAGTATTACCCGGAGGGTGTCATGAAAAGCCCACGCAAGACACACGGAGTGATGAACCTGGACGGCGGCAGGGTCGGCCAGAACCACATCTCACGGGGGAAATCAATGGAAAGGCTTGGCGCCATCTGTAGACCCCTCCCCTCCCTGCCCCGCAACAGCGTCCGTTCAGATCGGCCTACCATGTGACGTCACCTAAAGCTCCATCCAATCACAGCTTACGCGGAGGCCTCACCCATAAGGACATTACAACAACCATAAGCTTACACCTTTCGTCAATGTTAGTATCGCACGATATTTGATGTATCAGCATTTTACTGGGAGTAGCTGGTAAAAGAGCTAATGACGAAAGCTTTATAACGTAAGCATTCGACATTTCGGCCAGAGGCCACCATTACGAGCGTGATGACCCCCGGCAGAAACGATGAGCGAACGATAAGGCCTACTCGACGCCCAGTGGCCTTTTTAGATGAAGTGTTCCCGTTCTAAATCGGTCTCAAAGCGGTGCACGTCTTCTGAACGACGCTCTCGACCGGCATCGTTACAGCGGCGCCCCCTGCCGGTCGCTCTGGCGAGATCAGGCGCCGGCGACCGTCTGGAGCGCACTCTAAGTATGCGCTAATTGACGCCGCCGCCTGTACAGTTGATGCTCGCATGCCGTGGTGCAACCACCATTATCATCTGCTGGTCCCACAGACCTCCCATAACCAGCTCGCCCGTCTCGGGCACCATCCGGTCCGTATCCACCACAGCCTCTCAGACTCTGACCTCGATGCCGGGCAGCGGCAGGAGGCCGCGCAGGAAGCAGTACACGGCCGTGGGCACGCTGTTGAGGGCGCTGACGTCGTGCCCGAGCAGGGCGACGACGCTGTCGCGGCCGGGCGCCGGCTGCCGGCGCAGCAGCTCGCCCGCCACCGTCAGCATCTTCTGATACGGCGCCGCCAGCCGACCTGCGTCCACAATCCTGCCGGCGGCGGCGCGGCCTTGCTTACACGAGAGTACGACAAAGCGGGGGGGGGGGGGGGGTGTCGGGGGAGTACCTGCCCCGTGGTGGGAGGCGTTCCGAGGAGCGGAGGCGAGAAGGTACACCCAGCAGGCATATTTCACGACGTTGGTCATACTTAAAGATTTAGTGCGCACCTTGCGAATGGACTGATTTATGTGAAGAGAAGATGCTAAGCCATGCTTGTTGCTTGACCCGCGAGCCATCATCTGACCATAAAATTTCGTATCAACGGCAGAGTTTAATGGCGTAAGTTTACGGCGCCGCTCTCCTTGGCACGGTCCATTCCACCCTCCGACGTCACGTAACCCTCAGCGCGGTCACTACCACCGGTCGCAGGCCAACCCTGTCAGGGACAAACAGCGAGCACGAAAAGCGACTCGAGCCGCCGCGCAAAGGTCGGGTGAATACGGAGAGGAGCGCCATAACCGGCCGCACTAGCGGATATGGGACAAGCGTCAAGGATGCGAGGCTGCCAATATGCACGGGGCACAGGCATCACGACGAGAATACTGAGACCAATACAATGAGACGGGGCTGAGCTTCGCATCGTATTTGCCAAACCAATGGCGGAATACAATTAATGATTTAAAACAAATAAAAACAGACACGTGGGACAGCCGGAGTGAATTTGTGAGAAGGCTTCCGGTCGGAAAACGACCAAAGCCAACATGGGCAGAGTTTTCTGCACGCTCCATACGTTCACCTGGCTGGAAGAGAGCCTCCGCCTAGCGCTGCTGCTAGCCTGCACCCCCACCGACAGGGCGCGGTGCGGAGGTCCAAGCATTGTCGCCGGGCCGGCCGGGCGGAGCGTCGCGCCCAACGCGGCGCCAACCGCGAGACAGCGCACGCCACACGTATCCCAGCTAAGCCGGCTGAGCACACTGGCGGCCCATTAACGGACCGGCCACCTGACGCAGGCAGCCGCTCCACAAACAAACGGGCCCCGCGCGGCGGCACGGCACGGGCCCAGGGGCCGGCGCCGACAGCAGCACCGGCTAACTACTCCCTCCCCTTCCCTTCCCTTCCCCACGGCAGAACGACAAAGCACGAAGGCCTGCCAAACGAAGAGGGGCTCTTCTCTGCCCCCCGCTCCCCCCCCCCCCCCCTCCCTGCCCCGAACGACGAAGTGAAACTCCACTAGTTGAGCTCCGATAAATCCCACCCTCTCCATCCGAGTCCTTAGACTGCTCGACGCCTTCACCCGAATGACGGGATCTCCTAAACACACCATCCCAGCCATCCCGCCCTTGACGCCACCACCCGATTCATGCCACCCCTGACACCACCACTGGGGCCATGCCACCCCTGACGCCACCACCCGAGTCATGTCACCGCTAACGCAACCACCGAAGACGCGCCATTACTGACGCCACCACCCGAGCCATGCCACCCCAGACGCAACCAGCAGTCATGCCCACCCCTGACGCCACCACCGGAGTCATGCCACCCCTGACGCCAAAACCGGAGTCATGACACCCCTGACGCCACCACCAGTCATGCCACCTCCTGCGCGGCGGCCGCGCCGGCCGCTGCGGCCGACCGGCGGCGTCGCCATGCGTCACCAAGGAGCCGCTCAGCCACAGGCGCCGCATCATAGCGCGCGCCGCTAACCGACAGCCCTTCGGCGTCCGGGCCGAGTTTACGGGCCGACCCGCGCCTGTCCGGGCTCGATTGAACCGCGCCGCCGCCCGAGACGGCGCCTGCCTGGCGCCGAGGGCCACTTCGGCGTCACGTGCACCGGAGTGGGGCGCGCCGGCCGGCGCGACGACGCTGCGGTCCTGCCGGGCCTCGGGGAGGCGGGGAGGCGGCCGGAGCTGCCGCGTAAGGTCGGCGGTGCGAGTGTGCAGCACGGCGGCCGGCCCGCGGTCCCGTCCGCTCGGACGGGCGCGTCGTCCGCCGGCGCTCGGGCCCCGCGCGAGCCGATGCCAATACCGGTCCGGCCGCGGCCGGGCCGGCTTCCACCTCGGCTGCATCCGTCGCCGACGCATTCGGGCCCGAGAGTGGGCACAATAAGGCGGCCGACTCGTCAAGCGGCGCGGCCGGGCGGCGGCAGATTCAGCTCCCGGCTGGCACCGGCGCAGTGCGCCCTTAAATAACAATACCGCCTTTGTTTTCGCCTGCTTCATGTTTAATATCGGCGGCTCCGTGTCTGTGTTCAGATCAGAATCTGTGCATCAAACAGCTGCGCAGCATCGCCGCATTTCGCTTGCAACTAGTGTGACCGCACTCCACTGGCTGCTAACTGCAGCGCATACCAGCGAACCCAACAACGACAGAGTTCGACCGACGCAACACGAGAGCGAGGCGAGAGTCTCGCGTGACGGCCGCACGTCGCATGGGACGGACCTCACTGCGGTGCCGTGTGGGGCCGGCAGCGGGCGGTCTCCACGCCGAGCGAGGCAGGTCGCCGCGCTGGAGGACCGATGGCCGACCACAACTCGCCGCTTTATGACTCGCGAAGTGGCCGGCCTCGCCGCCGACGCTCGGCCGGCGCCGGCGGCGAGGCCGGCCGGCCCACTGGCTCAGTCTCTCTCGGCGCGCCCATCAGCCGCCCCCTGACCACGCTCGTCGACGAACGGCACGCAACCACGGAGCGTTCCCACGGCGCCCGGCCAGATGCCATCGATTTCGGCCAGCGGCGACGCCGGTTAAAACGCCTCCGACCGGGGAAGGCATGCAGCGAATACAGACGGACAATGGAGTGGCGGAGTGGGGCCCACAATGGCCATGGTAATAATGGCACCAACTCTGGGAGTAGCTCACTGAACGGACCCCGCGGCTCGGTGCTGGAACGGCTTCCGCAGGACCAAAAGGTCACAACACAGCCTGGTAAAACGGTAAAAAATAACAAATAATTTTGACGGCGCCTGATCGCCAAATACTGTACCAACAACAGTGCCCGCGATAGATGCTTCTCCCATATCCAGGGCAATGTGCCGCGCCAGGTGAGAAACTTCACACGTGTTGACGCGTCTCGGCCCATTGCGCCAGTCACTCGCTGCAAGACGAGGCAGGCCTGATAAGTATTATATTACTCGATCGTCAGCCGTGCGCGGGGACGGCTCTATGCACCTGTCAACGTGGCCATGCCATGTGAATGACCACTGACGTTTCACGGGCCGTAAAACGACCGAAAGACAGCCTTAACCATCAGCACGACGATCCAAGGGCACTCCTCTACACAGGCCCGTCCGGGAGAGTGGGGCGGTAGAAACTGGTGCCAACACAGACCCCTGGCCTGGGACCGGGCTCCTCCAGAGATATGGGTCACCCGGCACCATCTCCGACCGACGCGCGTTCACACACACACACACCGCCGTAGCCAACAGCGCCGGCCGCATGGCCGCAGACGCCGGCCGGCTGTCACCAACAGGGTTGGAATCTCAAGCGGGCTTCATTCAGCCGACCCGTTTGGCCCTGGGACCAGGCCTGGCCCGGCCGCCCCGGTCCCAGGCCATCGCCAGGGCGGCGGGCAGGGTTACGGCAGGGACATGGCGAACAGGCTGACAGGAAAGAAGACAAAGGTGGGCAGAGACGGGCACGGGCCAGAGACGGGCAGAGGCCAGCGGGCAGCGCGGACCCGGTGACAGAACAGAGAGGCCAGACACGGGCAGAGGTCAGAGGGCGGTGCGGACCCGGTGAGAGAGACAGAGAGGCCAGAGACGGACAGAGGCCGGAGGCCGGTGCGGACCTGGTGAGAGAGACACAGAGGCCAGAGACGGGCAGAGGCCAGAGGGCAGTGCGGACCCGGTGAGAGAACAGAGAGGCCAGAAACGGGAAGAGGCCGGAGGGCAGCGCGGACCTGGTGAGAGAGACAGAGGCCAGAGACGGGCAGAGGCCGGAGGGCAGCGCGGACCCGGTGAGAGACACAGAGGGGCCAGAGACGGGCAGGGGCCGGAGGGCAGCGCGGGCCCGGTGACCGGAGCGGATCAGCCCCGTCGGCCCCGTAATGAACGGCGCTGTCACGCAATCACGTCCGCACGTCAACACATGATTGGGGCCGGCCAAATCCTTGCACATGCAACACGGCCATCCCGATAAAACCCGGGTCGATCCATAAAGCTGCCACATACTCAGTTTAATGGCCTGGCGCGGCGGTGGCGACGTCATATTCGTACCTCCCCCCCCCCCCCCCCACACACACACACACTATGCCCTCCTGCAGGTATACACGGCGCCAGGGCGCGTGGGTATCGTAATGAGGGGCTGGCGGGTGGCGCATACTGGCCAATTTCGTAACAGTTGACCTTCCTGACACTAGTAGTCACGAAATGCACGCTTTCTGTATCTTGCCTATCAAGAGGTTTCACTGGTCGCTCTCGCTGCCAACTGCTCCTATCTCTGGGGCGTGGCCCGTGGCACGGCAGGCGTGAGGCCTGACCTGATTCGACCTGACCCGGCCAGCTGCTGTGTTACACCAGCTCGCTGACTCTGCCCCGACCCGGCCCCGGCTGCCGCTCGTGCTCGTGTGGGCGGCCCGGTGGGGCTCGCCTGTCCGACCCTCCGCGTCACGGCCGAGCGGGGGCGGCCGCTGCCGGGAGGCAGGGGCGGCGCTCCGCCCCTCTGCAGCAGCGCACCGGACTCACTCGTCGCCGCTGCACTCCTCCACCTGCTCCATGTGCGTCCTCAGCCTGTCGATGAAGTCAGCACCGTCCAGGGGCCGGCCGGGGTCAGCCTGCAGCGCCAGGTGTACCGCCAGACACTGCCGACAGGTCACAAGTCAGGTCAGGTCATGCGGGTCAGGTGCACCGTCACACACTGACATGTCAGGTGATGTAAAATGCACCGCCGTACACTGTGGACAGGCCAATTGTGGTCAGGGAAGTCGCGTGAACCCCCAGACAAAGGTCAGGTCAGGCCAAGTTAGGAGAGGTCCGATGGCATGGCCCATCCACGGACCTGATTGAAACACGACCAGTGTCCACCTTCCAGTTGCAGTATCCGTCGCACCGCCGGCTGCATCCTGCAGTGGCCAGTGCGGGTACGCGCCGGACATCTGTGGACGAGCTGTCCACAGATGTCCAGTGTCGCCGTCTTAGGTTCGCGGACGCGCCATTCTGGTCCGAAGCCGACGCGCATCTCCGTCCAGACCGGCTCCGCGGTCTCCCGCCGTCCCGGCGCCGACCGGTGGCGCTCTGGTGACGCCGCCGGCCGGCCCGTAGCAGCCGGAGAACTGCGGCCAGACACCGCGGCCGGACACCGATGCTCGGCTCGCAGGCCGCCGCGGCGACGGCCACAGCGAGCCGCCGCGGCCACGGCAACAGCGAGCCGCAGAGGCGACGGCCACAGCGAGCCGCAGAGGCGACGGCCACAGCGAGCCGCCGCGGTTACGGCCACAGCGAGCCGCCGCGGCCACGGCAACAGCGAGCCGCCGCGGCCACAGCAACAGCGAGCCGCCGCGGCGACGGCCACAGCGAGCCGCCGAGGCGAGGGCCACAGCGAGCCGCCGCGGCCACGGCAACAGCGAGCCGCCGCGGCCACGACCACAGCGAGCCGCCGCGGCCACGGCAACAGCGAGCTGCCGCAGCCACGGCCACAGCGAGCCGCCGCGGCGACAGCCACAGCGAGCCGCCGAGGCGACGGCCACAGCGAGCCGCCGAGGCGACGGCAACAGCGAGCCGCCGAGGCGATGGCAACAACGAGCCGCCGCGGCGACGGCCACAGCGAGCCGCCGAGGCGACGGCAACAGCGAGCCGCCGCGGCCACGGCAACAGGCGAGCCGCCGCGGCCACGGTCACAGCGAGCCGCCGCGGCCACGGCAACAGCGAGCCGCCGCGGCCACGGGCACGGGTCGATGCACGAGACCGCCGGCGCGGCCGTGATGGGATGTGGCAATAGAGCACGGGTGACGCGTTCGCCGAGTGACCCTCTCGCGTATACGCCAAGTTGCCTCCTTTGAAGTTTGCCACGGAGCTATGCCCTGAGCGCACGCGTGTTTATTCCTGGCAATTTCGCACGGAACAGGGGGTTATTTGGGGACGGAGAGTGATCACTGTGTGCGGCACTCCACTTCCAGGAGCGCGTATTTATTTATGGTCGCGACGGGGCGCAACGTAATTGGCCTCGCTGTTGACTCTGTTGGCCAAGACACTGACACCACTGGTGCTCCAAAACATACTGAGGACACAAAACGCCGTACAGAAGGCGGATAAGCGTCACTCAATGTTTCAAACCGTGATGGCTACCGGTTACTGGTGGTTAAGACTCCTTGGCGTAACTCCGGCCGATAAACGTCGCGGTCTTTCACGTCAGGTATCGCATTACTGCAAGCGGTGTGGTGGTGCTTGAGAGCTGATCCTTCCCCTTGTCGGCCATGACGTTACAGCGCCTTACAATACAATAATAATATAACACATCAGACTTTTCTCATCTTAGTGAATCAAGAACGCCGGTAGTTGTCCCGTTCGCATGGCGTGTACCGCAGGTCACAGGCGCCAGCTGAGGCGCGATTGGTAGTCAGCAGCTGGCAGCTTTTTGTTCCAGCTGACGATGCGTAAACAAGCCACATCTTTCATTCATGCAAGCTTCCATTCGCCTTTATTCGGAACTTCCCTTCACCTGGACAACCATCGTGACTGATGACATCATGACTCGACCAATCGTGACCGATGACACATCTTGCACGAAATCTGGGCCAGTTAACCGACTGGTTGCGGCCGCAACTTAAAAGATATATGAAAGCCTGGCCGCACGTCGGCCATGGGGCCATGAGCTAAAATATATCACAGAATCTTTCACTGAATCTTTCACTTACATATATTCTCTATGCATATGGTTATCTAGCCTACAAAAAAAAATCTGAAAGATATCGCTCAAGACGAGGCGCCCATTATCATTCTTGGAAAAATCGGCCCAAGTGGTGCGAAAGGGTGGGCGTACTGCTACGTTTACGTCAAATCATCAATTACCCGCCCAGCCATCGGAATCGACCGAAATACCTCGGAACACCAAACGTCTACCGCGCGATTGTAAGTTGTCTCGTTTTGAAATAAAAGTCTGCTGTCAGGACATCACCGATAGTTTTTACCATTTATGGTGTAAAAAAACCGTCGTACGGTGAAGTTTGCACTACCTGTGTTTCCACCATCGCGATGAGTTCCGCATCCCGCAAGGCGCATAAACAGCACATCACCATTTAACCGTTTTGAAAATGCGAGGAGCTGCCAGCATTCATCAGGATCGAATTCAATAAACCATCGAAGTGCATCCTGGCATTTCCAGAATACCAAACACCTGTGCTCACCAAACGAAATCAAACAGAGCAAACAGTGCCGTGACAGCGACATGTTTCGTACCAGGCATGACACAGTAACCACACGCTACAGCGGACCTGTGAACGCGCGGGACGCTCCAGGAAGCAGACCATGTTCATGGCGGAGTGCGGGGAGAACGCCGACACCGTAAGTGCCACGAAGGATGACCTTTACCTTGCCGATCCAAGACCAGCGCTTTTCCGCACGAGTCTTTAAGATTCCGCTTGCGTTTGCATGCACGCCCCAGCTGACGCGTTCGCAGAAAACCACACAGCGGAATACATCAGAATGCAGGCGGAATTGAATGGTTGTCCGAAAGGCCTCCCAACGAGCTGAGCGTCCGCCAGGGACCCCCGGTTCGGAGAGTGTCGGACGAACACATGACGGACAGGGAGGCGGCAGGCACCGGCCGGACGACAATGTTCCCGAGGCCGCCTCCCCATCCACGGCCAGCGCCGCGCACCAACCCAATAATGCCGCACCCGGCCGCCGCCGCATCGGGAGATTTCGGCGCGAGGCGAGACGTCACAAAGCCTGCGCCTGTTTTCCGCCCAGCAGTCCTCGCAGATTGTAAACAATGGTTTTTCAGACCGGCCACGGCGCGGCAGCTTTGAATGCCGTTGTGTATTGATATAAGTGTGGAGAGGCGTGCCGAAAACCCGCCCGCTCGGCTCTACCCCAGCGTGTGGCGGCTGGCGAGGGCGCGTCTCTCTGGCGTATTGAGCTCGGGAGCATACCGAGCGGCCTCGGGAGCTGACCGAGTGGCCTCGGAAGCCGACCGAGTGGCCTCGGGAGCCGACCGAGTGGCCTCGGAAGCCGACCGAGTGGCTTCGGGAGCTGATGAACTCGGGATCCCGTGTCGGGTCGGCCCGACAAGGGACTGACGCCGGTCGGCGAGGGCTCTCAGGCTACCGGTGTCTCAGAGCCGCGGCGGCACCACCCAGCACGGGACACAGACGTGAGTCACGCAGGGAACCGGGCAAAAGATCGCAAGCAAATGACCTAATGCAAAAAGATCACATAGGATGAAGATCGTGCGATGTATATCGCATGTGTCGCAATGACGAAATATGGTAGGACAAAGATCACATTGATACAAATATCATGTTATAGATTGCACAAAATAAAGATCGTGATGAAAATATTTGGTACGGGATTAAGGTCGTTTGATATAAAGATCGGATGCCAAAATATCACACACATTCAGAATCGCACGGGATAAAGGTAGCAATAACGACAAAAGTTTGTAGGGGACAAACATCGTCCGGAATAAATTGGAAATGCCGTCCGACAAACGTCATTTTCTGCGTACGCCTTCGCGGAGGGCGGTTTGCGGCCAGCGCTGGTCCGAAACGACACGGCGCCGCGCCCAGCGCACAACAGTGAGGGTCGGCGCTGGCGACCAGCGCAGAGGGGTCAACCATTTGGATTTACGCTCGCAACCTCTGCAACGGAGATATACGCCAGAAACGAAGCCTTGTCGAAAATTGTGTGGATGCGCGCATGCATCAAAGGCCACTTTCCCTGACGCAAAACTAGATGACGCCTGATATTGGACTTCAGTTTACGACCAGACGGCTCAATAGCGATCCATAGCACCAGCTCCATGAACTGTCCGCGGGGGCGCATTCATGGAGAAGGGGGGGGGGGGGGGCACCAAGCGCACGTGTCCCGTCATCAACTTAGCACATGCATAAACATGCATGAGAAGTAATGTCAGCACAAGAAGATTGAAAACATGTAAAGTTCATATATCCCATTCAAACAAAACCCCTGTGACGGAATACGCTAGGATCTTCAGTGAACAAGCGATTTTTTTCTCCCTCCCCCCCCCCCCTCCCATTCAAAATCCTACAATGCGTTCTTTTGCATAATCAGCGCCAACAACTTCTCATGTTTCGAATACTGGCTACAGGGTTGAATGATAAGGGGGGGGGGGGGATCTCGAGCCCTCACAACTGAGTGTGCAACAAGAACCAGTGTTTTTCTGACGACTTGCAGCCGCCTTGGTTCCACATAGTTCAGCTGCACGAGAGCGCACGCAGGACCGCGCAACTGGGGGAGGGACACAGCTGAAACTTTTAACTGGAATTCCACATTAAAGAGTCGCAGGCGCCAGAAATCTATTGCATGGTGCATAACATCACATGTTTGCCTTCTGCGTCGCTCCGGCCTACTATGATTTTTACTGGCGTCATCCATTCCCAAACGTATTAACTCATGAAACATTTGATGATGGCACGAACGGACCCCATTTAAACATGCGCTTGCAGTTGCAGGTAAGTTTCATAACCTCATTTTGCATATGTTTATAATATATTACAATATCCACTTCCACCATATCACCACAGCATTTCTCTCTTACGATCTTTACATGGCCTTCATCTTACGGTTTTAACACACATTTGGTATGCGTTCATTCGCAATACGATCCTTCTACATGACATGCATCACATACCACCTCTCGGCTGCAATACTTTTCATACAGCATTTTTCTGAATACGTATCCAAGCGATCTTTATCTGTGGCCACCTTTACCGTAAAACCTTTGAAGATATTTTTTAAGATCTTTCGCAACTTCCCATCTGTTTTGTACAATTATTTGTGTGCGACCATTTGTCCTTTGCCCCGTAGTCTCCCTTTGCAGTCTTTTTATGGCGACCCACTTCCATAAGACCGTTTACCCTGTAACCCAGTTCACCGCGCACGGGTGTATGGGGTGGACGGGGGGGGGGGGGGGGAGGGTCATCAGCCCGGCGCTCAAGCGCCCCCTCGCCGCGCACTAATTGATCACGGGCAGCACCGGTCGCCAGCGACGGCAGTCTGGACTGGGTACTGGTGCCCCGCGGCGGGGCAGTGCTGCTGAATGGCGCCCGCGAAAGCCTGTTCAAAACCCCACCTCTAGCCGTCAGTGATAATCCCAGCTTCTCCTCTCCACACAAACACCTCCAACCGCCCCCCTCCCCTTCCCAACCTCCCTGACCGCCATGATTATCAGCCAGTGCATGCCGGACGGTGCGGGCAGCAAGTCCTGCCTCCCCCCCCCCCCCCCCTCTTTCTCCCCGGCTATGGTCAGCCGCAGAGCGAGCGAGCGAGCGGCGGCCCCAGCTAATTAGCAGCAAGGTCGCCGACAGTACGTGCCGACGACAGGGCGCCAGCCGCGGGAGAGACGTGTTTCCTGGCCGGCTTGGTGTCACGGCAAGATCGGCCAGGACTCACACGAGCAAGCGACAACACTGCCGGCGGTGGGGCAGACTTGGCCCGCCATCTGTCGACGTTATCGGCAACAGACGTCTGCTCGGAGCTTGCGTGTGACACGACAATGCCGGCAGGAACAGCGCGCAATTGCGGTTGGTTTATTGGAAAACATATCGTGGAGTCCCCTGCCACTAGCTGCAGACAAAAGGGCCAGAACAAAGACACCAGGTCGCCATACTGAGAAATATCAGGAAAAAGAGCAGATCTCAACTTTGGACTGAACAACGTCACCACTGGTGGTAACCAGTAATGAAAAATGGGCCAATGGAAGCTGGAGAAAAGGTGTAAAAATCAAAAACGAATAATTTTCCGCGAAAACGAAATTTTGACTCCTCGTTATCAATCAATAACCATTTTCGTTATTTTGCTATTTTCCTCAGTTCAGGAAGTAAGAAAGGGAAGGTTCCTCAGTTCAGGAAGAAAGTGTTCTTTCCGCCCGGTAACGTTGCACAAAGCAAATGCAAACGGGTACGGCATATCACTGCTCAGAGGCAGCGACGGGGGAATTATGAAGGATGGGGGATGTTGGCCAACAGCATAAGCTCTAGGGAGATAATGTCAGAGACCGACACGGAGACGGGAGACGGGAGTCGGGAAACGGGAGACGAGAAAAAGAGAGTGAGTGCCAGTGCGAGAGAGAGAGAGAGAGAGAGAGAGAGAGAGAGAGAGAGAGAGAGAGAGAGAGAGAGAGAGAGAGAGAGAGAGAGAGAGAGAGAGAGAGAGAGAGAGAGAGAGAGAGAGAGAGAGAGAGAGAGAGAGAGAGAGAGAGAGAGAGAGAGAGAGAGAGAGAGAGAGAGAGAGAGAGAGAGAGAGAGAGAGAGAGAGAGAGAGAGAGAGAGAGAGAGAGAGAGAGAGAGAGAGAGAGAGAGAGAGAGAGAGAGAGAGAGAGAGAGAGAGAGAGAGAGAGAGAGAGAGAGAGAGAGAGAGAGAGAGAGAGAGAGAGAGAGAGAGAGAAGAGAGAGAGAGAGAGAGAGAGGAGAGAGAGAGAGAGAGAGAGAGAGGAGAGAGAGAGAGAGAGGAGAGAGAGAGAGAGAGGAGAGAGAGAGAGAGAGAGAGAGAGAGAGAGAGAGAGAGAGAGAGAGAGAGATAGAGAGAGAGGAGAGAGAGAGAGAGAGAGAGAGAGCGAGAGAGAAGCCGAGAGAGAGAGAGAGAGAGAGAGAGAGAGAGAGAGAGAGAGAGAGAGAGATAGAAGAGAGAGATAGAGAGAGAGAAGAGAGAGAGAGGGAGAGAGAGAGAGAGAAGAAAGAGAGAGAAGAGAGAGAGAGAGGAGAGAGAGAGAGAGAGAGAGGAGAGGGAGAGAGAGCGAAGGAGAGAGAGAGAGAGAGAGAGAGAGAGAGAGAGACGGAGAGGAGAAGAGAGAGAAGAGAGAGAGAGGGAGAGAGAAGAGAGGAGAGAGAGAGAGAGAGAGAGAGAGAGAGAGAGAGAGAGAGAGAGAGAGAGAGAGAGAGAGAGAGAGAGAGAGAGAGAGAGAGAGAGAGGAGAGAGAAGAGAGAGAGAGAGAGAGGAGAGAGAGAGGAGAGAGAGAGAGAGAGAGAGAGGAAGGAGAGAGAGAGGAGAGGAGAGAGAGAGAGAGAGAGGAAGAGAGAGAGAGAGAGAGAGCAGAGAAGAGAGAAAGAGAGAGAGAGAGGAGAGAGAGAGGAGAGAGAGAGAGAGGAGGAGAGACCGAGTGTGTGACAATACTCCGGACGCTACTGGGTCCAGCGCACCCTCGACATTCTTTCAAATGGTCAAAGAACGCCGGAATCAGCCAATGCAATGACTGGGGGTCCTCACCCTAACGGACCCACTGGTGGCTACGCCCACACACCGACGATTGCGAAATGACGTTCCGCAATTAAAACATTTACCTCTCCCCTTCTCATCTGCTCCTCGTGCAGCCAGCTCAAGAAGCTGCTATGTCACACCTTTCTGCTGACAGGTTAAATGAAGTTTCCCACTTCTCTTTTCTTTATCTCCTATGCGCAAAATATGGGGGAACGCTAAGATCTCAATTTTACGATTTAGCCCTGATACACAAAACACTCCTGGCAAAAAAAAATATTACCGGAGTAATCCGCCACCCATCCCGACAGCTCGGTTAGAGCACCTGCCTTCCCATATGCCCACTTGAGGGCGGGTGGGTTCGAATCGCTTTAAGCGTTTGCTACTCATCCCCGAATGGGTCGGCCCGCAACCGGTGGCAGCGATTGCGCTAACGGTCAGGTCACGCCAGGGAACAGAGCTGACCCTGTCGAGCATCGCGGCAAGGTAGACTTTCGCCGCAAGGGTCTGCCATTGAACCTGAGCCTCCCGATCCGATGGTGGCGTCGGGACGCGCGCAAAACGCACTACTTTGCGAGGACGTCGGCCCCATTAACCCATTTAATCAACTAGGGTCGGACTTCATATGCTTTAAAAAGGCACTTAGGAGGCCAGAGAACATGCCCGAGTAAATATTAAAAGGGCAGCGTGATTATGTTATGAAAGTGACGGATAGTTTTCTTACACACCCGGATTACTGTAGCCACTGTTGCGCTCCAACGTTATTTCCAAAACACAACGACAAACCACCCCAGCGTTCAAGTGAATACGAATATGGATATGGCGCTTACCATTGTTATTTCAAAATCGGGAGACACCGAAAATGTCATGCAGGAAATCAGATTTAGAGCAGACACCAGTCCACGTAGTTGATCACCTGTAGAATGGCGCCGTTGTAGCCCTCTCGATGCGCATGTGTAATGAGCGCCGACTTCTTGGCCACGTCGATAAGCGACTGGACGTTGTTGTGGCAGAAGAGCGCCACCGGAGCCACCCGCATGGCACCTGCAGCACCAGCGGGGCGAGCTGACGCTTCTGCTTGCGGACGGCCGCTCGCCCATCCTACAGGATATATCAAGAGGTCCCACGCACACACTGCGAGAGTGGGTGCGAATGGAACAATATAAAACTAGGGCATTGTACCTCTCGCCCAAGATCACATCTCTCCACACACTGCGCAAAGCCCAAATTCCAGCCGCGTTACATCAGCAAGCTTCGCCACCTCAGCGCCGGGACACTGATGGCGTGCGGGTGACGGGCGGCGGGCAGGCGGCGGCAGCCGCGGCTGTCCGGCCCCGGACGAACCTCCGTTGCCGAAGGAGCCGCGGCCGTTGAACTGCTCACGCGCCGGCAGGAATGGCTGTTCGCACTCCTGTTTGCGCAAGTTGCCGAACACGACTGGCACGTTGGAGCCATAGCCGCGCCCTGGCTCAGTGAAGTATTCCTTGACGGACCTGGCCGGTGAGCACCATGACATTGGGAGGGGGGGGGGGGGGGGGACAGGCAGACATCACGGATGTCAGTCCTAGCCGCGAGCCATGTTAAGCCTCTGACTGATGAGTGGTGACCTCCAAAACATGAAGGGCATAACTATCAAGAACATAATGTCCACCAACCAGAGCAAACTATGACCTTTAACTGATACTGGAATGCACCAAAATAGATCACACAAGCATTTGAATGTTAAATAGTGACCTTAAAACATGTCAGACACACCTTTCAAGAACATAAGATAGGCCAATCAAAGCATGCTGTGCTACTTAACTAGCACTGATAGCAATATGCCAAATGGTCACCTTCCACTGCCAACTTAGCAACCACATGGAGACCTCTGATACAGCAATACTAATAGGCTTAAAAACATATTATCTGAAGGATTAGCCTTTGAAACAGATTCATACCTTGTTGCCATGTCCTTGGCATCAAATGCTTGTTTATTGATAAGGGATTCTGCAATGCATCTTGTCATTGCAGTATCATCAGTGTAATTCTTGTAGGGAACTGAAACATAGGTCAAAATGAAACCAGTTATCTGTATTTTCTAAATACTTATACCTTTTCACTTCCTGTCTGTTAAGAGTTGTATTGACTTTCCAACAGCCTCTATAAATTTATTTCACATGCTTTGCTGCCTGCTGGTTGATTAAATAATGAGGTTATTGGCATCAACTGTCTAAATCCAAAAGAGCAGATTCAACCATTATTTTGCATATAAGTAGGTTTCTGTACAGTACTGCTTTGTGTAGTACAGTACTGCTTTGTGTACTGCTTTCTGTACAGCTGAATGCTACTTGACATTTAATCCTCATAATAGCAGGGCTCTGGGCTACCTTAGGACTGACTGCAGAGCTACCTGCCATCTCTTCATTATGTGACAGACATTTCATCTTGAGACAGAAAAGCAGAAGAGACAAATAACATAATGCTGGATAGTTAATGCAAAGTGTAACAACTTACTGCTGGGGAAAGCTGTTCAAGCACCCTCAATCCTAATTAGTTTATTGTAGCAATCAAGCAACAGCACATGTCACTCAAACAGCATTACACCTTGATTAGGACTTCCGACTCAAGAGGCGGTGAAAACTGTTCTGACTTCTTTTTTTAGAAATTTGATAATGGTCAACCAGCATGCCAGAATACACATGTCACTTATAATGGCTAACCAGCATGCCAGAATGCATATGTCACTCAAACAGCAGTGCACCCTGATTAGGACTCCTGATTCAAGAGACAGTGAAAAAAAAATTATTAAATTTTATGATGATTAACCAGCATGCCAGAATACATCTGAGTCCAATGCCCATTGTGATGATCCATATGTGTGTATGTAAATGAGTGCCTTTCACATGTCAGCAATGACTGATGTCCATTATTCCCAGGAAGTGGGTGTGTCATAGCACCATGGACCACTATTCCTATGCCTATGCCCACTTGCATCTCATTTACCATACTAAATTTTGTCAGCTCTTATCTAAACATGAGTTTGTAAACCAAGTTTTGTCGGGGATTGTGCTGTTTTCTCTGCAGTTGCCTTTGTCCTAACATGCAAACAGAGATGGTCCAAAAAAATTATACTCTTGCACCACGAAACCAGCAGGTGAATAGGTGCTTGAAAGTAACTTAATAATTTGACCTTCAGCACTAACTATGTTTGACTTTGGCTTATGCCCTGGGCAGAGCCTCAGTTTATTGGCTCATCAAGTGCATCCCTTAGCTGAAACAGACTGGTTTTAAGACCCAGTGTTTTGAAATTGTTTTCCTCCTTTTTCAATTTCTCATGTTGAAATTTCAGGTAGCTAGGTACCTATGCAGACACCCATTTGTTCTCCTTTGAAAATGATGGATAACCCCATATATTCTGCAAAGTGGTTAAATGTGCAGCTTAATTTGTTAGCATTGCCAGCCTTCACCATACCTTTTACTTTTGCTTGCACCAGCTGCTGGAAAAAATCATTCAATTGCCTTTCACTAGGCAATTCTTCGTAATCGTCATTTTCAAAAGGTTCGCCTAAACAGTCTCCCATAAGAGCACCTGCCAAGCAGCCCCTGAACTTGGAGCATAGCTTGGCACTGTCAGCCATAGTAACAGTGTGACACCTTTTACTTGGATTAAACGCAAATCGCAAGCTGCTCTTCGAATGTTTTGCGATCACCGCCGATATCGACATGACCATGGGGGCTGCCATATTTGTTTACAACTCGGTCTGGGTTGGGGATGAAGCTACTATAAACAAGGGTGCAATTTGTTCGACTAAAGCAAAGCAAAGAGATGACTGACATCGGCCCACAGATTCGGCCATATCGTGGTTTTAAAGGATATTGAAACATTGAAACTTCGGAAAAATAATGGCATGAGCTTGACAGACTGACCTTGACTCAAACTTTCACCGACTTTCAAGAGGTGTGCCTTTACTTTTTAGATGTTTGGTTCTTGAAATTGTTGATGTTCTTCCATCCCTGACAAACATGAAGCTTTCAGTGTGTATTGATAGATAGCTTGGATAGATGGTGAGTCGCATTTTTAGCTTTCCTTTCGAAAGGATGTAAATTGTCTGATCCGATTCCCATGTAAACACATAAGCCAAACCAGCACTTGTGTCACTCTGATGACCATCATCATAAAATAAACCCCTGTTTAAGACATGCCTCCTTCTCTTATCTAATGATCCCGCCAGAGGTGCAGTCTCCTCTTCAGTTGGAGAGGGGACTGAAGCTCCCTCCAGCAATATAGGCTTTAGCTCCCGCCTCGCAGCTATGGCAAGAACGTGAGCCTAATCTGGAAAGAAACTTGTTTGTTGGCTTTTTAAGAGGGTCAGCCCAAACTCATTCTGAAAAGCATCGCCCCTGGATCTCACGCTTCTGATTAAGGATTTTGGAAGAGATGGGACCGCTTGAGGGTTGGGGAGTGGGTTTAGCTGGACTGTGAAAAGTCGCCTTAGCGCTAACATATTGAAGATAATTTTGTTTTTTTGGAAAGGTGCATACTTACCTTTTATGTCAAAGACGAATATGGCCTCTGAGGATGTGCTTTCTTTGCACAGGTTAAATTATGAATGATTGTTTCCAGAGATATGACGTTCAGTATCCCTGCAGTGGCGGACCAATAGTACGGACAAATTTTACTTCTTGTATTTTACTGGCCTTTTGCCTGCGCGACAAATGTCGACGAATACTCGCCAGCGATATAATAGTGGTGGAATTAAATAAATACGCAACTAAACGGTACATGAGTTGTGCCATAAGCTGCACAAGATAATATCTCCTAATGAGTTATTCTCCTTTAAAACAAAGCGCCATCTTAGCGGTCTTACTTACTTATATCCATGAAAAGCGAATAGAATATCAGAATGCCGTAGTGAAGGGCATTTTGAAGTCGCCATTTTGTACCATCGCGGGTAAATAGCTGACTGCCGGCCGCAGGACTTTGCGTGATTTGGGCTTAATCGAGGGCGGTAGGCATTTATACGCGCGCGTAAATAGGCTGTGATTGTTGGCCATTGAAGGTTCTAAAAGAGCTGTTATATCATACATTAACTGAGGTGTGTACAGCTCTGGCTTTTCGCGGGCTACGCCCGGGGAGGTGTGGGATGCGCCATCTCATCTTCTGTTTTTAATGCTATGTTCTGTGCCGTCTGGTTCCTTTTGGTCACTGCCCGCCTGATTGAAGGTGCACGTGTTACTGGAAGGATGCAGTTGGCTTTATGAATTTTGCGGGCTGGGGCATGTGTATGTTGCAGACCAGGCTGGCGGTGCTGGCTATGGGAGCACGCAAGACCAGCCGGGCAGTGGTGGTGGTTAAGCGATGCATTTTGTTAGTGACCTGCCCTATTTTCTCATAATTAACTGACAGCCAAGGGACAACTTCATGTGCTGCTGTGTCAACAATTGGGCAGCAGGTTTAGGAGATAATGTCATCTGTTGTCATCTGACAAAGAGTTAAATACATATGTTAGGAGTATCCATACACATCTGGTGTATCTGCTGATACCAATTTTGTATGGTTTGCATGCAACTTTTATATGACATAGACCATTTCAGTGACTTTGTGAGGCACACACCAGTGACACCAATATGATGTATCTTAACACTGACTAGTTATCTTACTATAGGGCCTGATGAGATGATGGAATGTCAGGAACTGAAGCTCTGATCATTTTATGACTCCCCCTTGAGATGGCAGGGAACAAATTTTGGAATTGTCCAAAACTGTCATATAAAGCTATTGTCAACCTCAGGCACGCTATGGAGACTTGAAATACCAGGCAGTGAGGGCTTATGAAAGCTGCAATTCATGACATTCATTTCCAAATGTCAAGCATAGATATGCCACACAACTTTAACTTGATATGGTAGTCACTGATTTCTGCCTGCCCCCCCCCCCCCCGCCATATGGTGCTAGAGGCACCAACTGCATGATCAGCTTCACTGCTGCCACCATGATAGAGACAGCAGTACAGCACAGCTGTTTGAGATGCTAATCAGAAGTACAGCACAGCTGTTTGAGATGCCAACTGATCCATTACAGCACCAGGATGGGTGACCAGCAGGAGTTCTGTCTGCGCTGGAATGACTTCCACAGCAACTTCCACCTGTCCCTGGAGGCATTGCGAGGGGATGAGTCATTCACGGATGTGACGCTCTCCTGTGCCGGCCGCCTGATGAAGGCACATCGTGTCATCCTTTCTGCCTGCTCTGTTCACTTCAAGGAGATTTTGCGGGTGAGTGGCAGCATCGGGTGCTGCGCGATGGCAGCGGTGTCAGGCTGGGGATGCCGGGCGGACGGCGGCGAGGTCAGGCTCGGGTTGCCGGAACTGACGGCGGCGATGTCGGACTGGGGATGCGGACGGACGGCGGCGGCGCGGGGCCGGGGATGCCGGACGGACGGCGGTGGTGTCAGACCGGGGATACGGGACGGGCGGCGGCGGTGTGGGGCCGGGGATGCCGGACGGACTGCGGTGGTGTCAGACCGGGGATGCGGGACGGACGGGAGCGGTGTGAGGCCGGGTATGCTGGAATGGACGGCGGTGGTGTCAGGCTGGGGATGTCGGACGGACGGCGGCGGTGTGGGGCCGGGGATGCGGGACGGACGCGATTGCGGCGTCGGGGATACCGGGCGGACGGCGGTGGTGTCGGGCCGGGGATGCCGGACGAACGGCCTGCGACAGCGGCGACTGGCGGTGTGAAGTCGCGTCCCACTGTTCGCGACGTGCCAGTGGTGCCTTGCATGTCTCTGAATGAGTACCCGTTGACCAACCGGGTACGCTCAGCGAGCATGGGTCTGTTGGTGGGACGGCTAGTAGTGAGGCTGACGCGTCGTGTCTGCGCGCCCATCGTCGGCCGGACCTGACCGACCGCCGCCGGCGTCTCTGCAGGGCATCCCGCCGCAGCAGCACCCGGTCATCGTGCTGCCCACTGTTGACTTCGAGGTGATGCAGGCCATCATGGAGTTCATCTACCAGGGCCAGGTGAACGTTAAACAGTCGCAGCTGGGCGCCTTCCTGCAGGTGGCTGAGACCTTCTCCATCCAAGGCCTGGCCGACGACGACACCAAGAAGAACTCACAGAAGGTGGGCTCCCAAGTGTAGTAGGCAGGTTGGCATAGGTGCCAGACTGAGCTCTTATCCTGGAATATTGTGTCCTGCTGACTTTGCGAGCATGTTCTTGGGCGTTATTTGACTTGGCCTCGCTCTCAGCGAGGCCAAGCTCTTTGAGCTCCTGATCGTGGAGGAATTGCACGCAGTCGCGCTCGTCTCGGCGCTTCCCACCATCGGGCATCGCCGCTCTCCTGTCGTATGGTCGGCTCAATGATACGGAGCGAACGCCGTGCATCTGCGGCCTGTGTCGCCCGGCCAGGAGCGCTGGGTCCGAGCGCGGCGCGCGCTGACCGACCTCCTTTATCGGCAGACGGCCAGCCGACCGCGGGCCGGCTGACTCGGAGCCGCCGTCGGCCAAGCGGCGGCGCGCTGAGCCTGCGCGGCCCGGTTCACCGGCCGTCCAGCCGGTGCCCGCCTCCGGCTCGGCTGCGGCGGCGGCCGACGGCCGGCCGGCGCGCACGCGCCGCCGCCGCCACCGCCCCCGCTGGGCCGACGACCCCGAGAAGACGGTCAACATCAGCGTCAGCATCAAGGCGGAGGGCATGGCCGACACGATGGTGGGAGAGCTGTTGGACCACTCCCAGCCGGGCGAGATGCTCGACCCGGACATGGAGGGCGGCCGGCTCGGACGTGGTCGGTGAGTGGCGCCGCCGTGCGGACGATTGCAGCGCGAGCCGGCGCCTATCCGGAGTACGCTCGGGGAGGGCATGCGATTTCAGTTGCAGCGGGTTGTCGGAGACGCGTCAGGACCCGCGATATAAGACGTGAGGTTATGCGTGTTGATGTGTGCTCTGTTGCTCAGCCGGTCACTCCAGTTGCTGTTGCGCAAAGTTGGACAGGTGCTTGGCTGCAATTGCTCTGCTGGGCGTAATCCGTCTTCTCTCCTTTGGCCAGCACAAGCAATGGCAACAATAGGTCATGATCAGCCGACACATCAGCGAGTGAGTACTCTTTCTTTTTAGATATCGTACTGCAATTAAAGCGAGAGTGTCTGGTGGTCACGTGGTATAGCTCGATGCTTTCGGTGCGGGGACATGTCACTAATTTGAAGTGCAAAATTTGCTCTACGAGCACTTGTCATGGAGGCATTATTTGGCCGTAAGCTATTTTTGGCACAGTAACATTGATGTCGGACTGGACGACAGATAAGGAGTGAGCTCTTTACGGAGAAATAGCATGGAACAAATGCGATGCATTTATAAGATGTTGTCTCCAGCGTGGTTACACTGGATTTGGTTACAAATTTGCAACAACTGATGAAGATTTAAACTGATGGAGCTTGGAAATGAGTGCGAAAAGCTTGAATCATATGGATTGACATGTCCAAAAATCGAGCTATAATATTAAGTCACAATCATGCCAAATATGTCGCCTAGGCGCTCTCGCTTTAAGGGTACCCGCTTTTTAAGTCAGCAGTGACTTTACGTAGAGCAGTGAATGCCTCCGACCGTTCGGCGTGCCAAAAGCCTAAAGCATTAAGTGCGTCTGCCAGTGGCGCGCTCCAGCCGCCTGGCGCTGCTGGTGCTTGCTGCTGCTACTGTCTCTCTGCTGCTGGCGCTGTTGCATACCAGTAACCTAAGCGTTCCGTGCCGCGTGAGTGGGCGGCCTGCTGAGCGTGTGCTGGTGGCGGCCGGCCGCAGTCCTGTCCGCCCTGCTGTGTGCGCGTGGCGGCCGGCACCGGGCCTGGCGGAGGTGGCTGAGGTGGCTGAGGGGCCTTGCTCGTCTCGTCCAAACACGCACACACACCACACACACACACACGCCACTGGAGGGTCTCGGCCCGGCCTGGCTCGAGCGTCGAGCTCTGCTCCGTGCCCGCCCGCCGGTCGCACACCGGTCGGGAAGTCAGCACCGGGTCCGGGCGTCGGACGCGGCTGCAGAGAGCGCCGTGGGATGGAGACATTTATGATGCATTAGGCGATCTGTCACGAAAACGAAAGCGTAGCAGTTCTGTCCGTATTAGTTGCGGAGAACTGCCGCTCGGGGAGTAGAGAGTGGAAAGGGAGATACAGTGAGTGCTTCTCCGCTTACCCATAGACGAACACGAGCCCTGATACCAGACCGTGGCGGCTGGGGCAGCAGTGCTCTCCTTCGAAGCACAGTCGCTCGACTGGAGCACGGTGACTGACTCGGCTGTTGTCTACCTCGCGCGAGAGGTGGGGGAGAATTGCGTCTAGTCGGCTTGTCAGCGGGATGCAGTGCGTAGCTTCCGTTCTGTTGCCTGGCGACGGCGGCGGCGGTGGCGGCGGTGGTGGAATGCCGGTCAGACGGCGAGCGGCGATGGCGCTCCGCCGCCGCTGTCGCCGCCTCTCGCGCCCGGCCGTCCGCGTCTCGCCGGTCCGAGCTCCGCCGGGCGTCCACGGCCGACTGGTGCCGACCGTCTTGCGCCGCCGCCGCCGTCGCCGCCGTCTGGCCGCTGGCCGGCGCGCGGGCGGGCTGGCGCAGCTGACCGGCGCCCGTCTGCCGTTAGCAGAGCGCTCTCGCTCGGGGGCCAGCTTCGCCTGGCAGCAGTTCACCCGTCTGGACGCCGACACGGTCACCTGCAACCTCTGTCTCAAGTCATACCGCCATCCGACCTCGGCCTCCACCTCGAACTTGTGGCGCCACCTGGAGCGCTACCACCAACTGCACCGCGCCACAGAGTAGCCGCGTGCCGGCGCCGGCCGGTGGCGCCACGCGGGCCAGTGGCTTCACGGCGCGTGGGGCTGTTGTGCCGGGTCTGTTCGGTCGAGGCGACGGGCTCATTTATCAATAACATCATCACGTTGAGTACCGTGTTTGTGTGGGAGGCTAGCCGTGGGCTGGTGGGAGTGGAGCGTGGAGGCTCGGACGCTGGCCGTGGGCTGGCAGGGAGTGGAGAGCGCTGAGGCTCGGACGCTGGCCGTGGGCTGCAGGGAGTGGAAGCGCTGGGGCTCGGACGCTAGCTGTGGCTAGCAGGGAGTTGGAGAGCGCTGGGGCTCGGACGCTAGCGTGGGCTAGCAGGGAGTGGAGAGCGCTGGGGCTCGGACGCTAACTGTGGGCTAGCAGGGAGTGGAGCGCTGGGCTCGGACTCTAGCTGTGGCTAGCAGGGAGTGGAGAGCGCTGGGGCTCGGACGCTAGCTGTGGGCTAGCAGGGAGTGGAGAGCGCTGGGGCTCGGACTAGCGTGGGCTAGCAGGGAGTGGAGAGCGCTGGGCTCGGACTAGCTGTGGGCTAGCAGGGAGTGGAGAGCGCTGGGGCTCGGATGCTAGCGTGGGCTAGCAGGGAGTGGAGAGCGCTGGGGCTCGGACGCTAGCTGTGGGCTAGCAGGGAGTGGAGAGCGCTGGGCTCGGATGCTAGCGGGGGCTAGCAGGGATGGAGAGCGCTGGGGCTCGACTCTAGCTGTGGCTGGCAGGGAGCGGAGGACTGAGAAGCGACTTCCAGATCCAATAGTGGAGCCGCCCAGCCGACAGTGGCGGCTGTTGGCTGAGCGGTGAATGGTGCTGGTCCGCCCGCCAGCGCCCAGTCCGCCGCACTGCACTGGCGTCGGCCCCTCGGAGGGCTCCTAGCGATCGTCAGCGGGGCAGGCTGCCCCCGTCTCGGGTCGTAGATCGCATCTTCCGCTGCACAGCTGACCACGAGGCGTCCAGTCTGTCTGCACTCGTCGGCTGGGCGTGTCGTCTGGCACCGCACCTCCGATGGTCGGCGCCGCGTGGCGGCGTGCCGACTTGTGACGCCTGCCGTCCTCCATCTCTGGGTGGGACGGTGCCGCGCTCTCCGCTCGGTCCGGCATGACCGCACCGGAGCCGGCCGGCCGGCAGCCGGCGGCGCCAGTGACCGACGGCTCGCCCGCTGTTGCAGGTCACGCGGCGCGCGGCCTGGCCGGCGTGTGGCAGCACTTTGTGACGGTGGGCGAGCACGAGGCGCTGTGCCGCGGCTGCCACTGCACCATCCGCTACCACCGCTCCAGCCTGTCCAACCTGCGGCGCCACCTGGTGCGGCGGCACCCGTCGGCCGCCGCCGCCGCCGCCGCCGCCCGCTGGCCAGTCTGAGCCAGGCAGCCGCAGGTGCGTGACTGGGCGCGGTCGGCGCCGGGTGCCGCGGCCCGGCCGGCCGCGGCTGCGGCCGTTCTGACGCGCGCCCGCCTGTTTCAGGCGCGGCGGCCGCGGCCCGGCCGCTCCTCCTGGCTGGGCGAGCCCAGCTGGCGGATGTTCGGCGCCTGCAGCCTGCTCGTGCGCGCCGCCATCCAGGGCCGCTGCGCGCGCTGCCTCAAGAACACGCGCCGCATGTGCCACGGCTGCGGCGCCCGGCTGCACGCCAACTGCTTCGCGGCGCACCACATGGCGCTCTGGCAGCCGTGCCAGTCCATGCCCTGAGCCGGCTCGGCGGCTTGCCCTCCGCTCGCCCACTTTTCTATGGACTCTGCCGCTAGTCAGGGCGTCGTGGCACGACCAAACGGACTGTGCGGGCCGCCGTGCCTGAGCGGCTCTTCCAGAGTGCGCGCGACGCTGTCTATGGATTCTCGAGCGCGGCGGACAGCGCCATCGCGGCTGTCACTCATCCAGGACAAATCTGTATATCTGTGTCGTCCCCGATCACCCCAGGGATCGGCGACGGGGCGTCGCTGTCGCGGTGCGGAGGCGACGCGCGCCGCCGGCCGGTGGGATGACGTTCTGCATTCCACGGATGTGGAAGTCGCGAGATGGGCCTTGTTGGCACCAGCCCGCCGCCGCCGGGCGGGACGCGCTGTGACCGTCGGCCGGCCGCGGCCTCTGTGCTATTGCAGACGGCGGCAGTCTGCGCAGTCTGGACTCGCTGGTGACGTCGCTGCAGGCGGTGGCGCGGCCGGCGGCGGCGGCGCGCCCCGTCCGCTCGGCGGTACGCGACTTCTTCTCGGGCGAGGCGCAGGACCGCGTGTGCCTGCTGTGCGGCCTGGGCATCCGGCTGAACCGGCAGCTGTCCACGTCGGGCCTGTGGAGCCATCTGCGCCACCGGCACCCGCGGCTGGTGCCCTCGCTGGCCGGCCGCTCGGCGGTGCACTGGTCGCCGCGCGCCGCCGAGTCGGCCGCCGGCTGGCCGGCCGCGCCGGTGGCCGAGCGCGCGCCGCTCTGGCCGCCGCCCACGCCGCCGCCGCTCGACACCCGGCCCGAGCTCTGGCACAACCGGACGACGGCAGCCGGCCGCAGTAGCGGTGCGCCGGAACGTGACAGCTGAGGTGGCCGTATGTTGGCCGGATGACGAGCTGTGCTCTGGACGGCGGCCTGATCGTGTGTATTGAGTCTGGGCGCGCATCCCTGTGTATACATGTTCTCTACTGCCAGTACCTGGTGTGAGATATCGTTCAATAATGAATACATATGAGCTTACTTGGAGTGCAGTTGTTTGGTCCCTACTTGGAGTGCAGTTGTTTGGTCCCGGCTTCTTCCCGCCCGATCTGTATTATTCGGGCAGGGCGTGGGGTCGCTGGGGTTCGCACCAATCGGATTCTTACATTTAGCGAAATAAACCATATAAAAGGTCATCCCCATTTCAGTTCCGGATGGGCGGCGAACGGATAATAATAACAATAATTTCTAAGACTGCATTGCGCTTTTTATCGGCAACCGGTGTTAACTGTGTTTGCATAATTGCGAGCGAAACAATCTTTCGCCGACGAAGGAAGTTCGTACATCGTCGGATTCTGGATGTCTTACTCCCGTACAATGCGGCCCCCGACACGGCGTGGGACGCAGAACTGTGGCTACAAAAACTGCGACAGCCTTGCATTCGTATCTCGCCAAATAGTCCGGCGGCACCGTCTGCGCGAAGGCCGCGTGTCCGCGCTTCCCAGCTCCAGCAGAAATCATCCGTCCGAGGCGCGCCGGAGCCCAGATATCACGACCTCCCTGAAACCGGAGAGCGAGCTATCTGTGGCGGCATTCCCTGAAGGCGGGGCACCAGCGTCGACCCCCGCGGTGGT